TCTGATTCTTAAAGTGCCTCTGCCCTAGGAAGGCGGGAAGTCAATTGCTGATAAGCCTGGTGTCTCTTCATTCATGTGTTCAATGAACAAACGTTTATTGAGCACCTTCTGTCTCTGAAGTCAGGAGCCTGTACAGAGTGATAAGAAGATCTTATCTACCCCAAAGGTGGTTAGCTCAACTCATTTGGCCCAGCAATATTTCATCACCAAAAAATTAAAAGTTATTGAGCAAAAGGATCATGACTTATTATATGAATTATCCTAATGTCCTGTGGAGACTGACTGAGATTTGTTTCTCCAATATCCATGAAGTATAAATTACCCTCAGTAGCTTTCTTGCCAAGGTAACGCAGCACCTTGGAGGGCATTACCTAATAATGTGGAAGAGCCATTTGTACTCGGTGCCAGTGTACCATGGTTGCAAGATGTGGATCTGACCACAGTGACACAGAAAAGACTCAATCTCAGTAACCAGAGGAGACTGCTTCTTGTTTTGGTATAGAGAGACAGAACTTTGCAAACTATTTCCTAACTTGGCCTACATCTCGCAGCCTGGCACTGGAAATCTCATCCTTGCAAGGAAGCTGCATTTAAGGGCAGCTGAGGACAGTGGCAGGAGGCCAGGCTAAAATGGAGCGAAAAACGGGAAGCCGTGTTCACTCGGAGAGGCTCCTCCGTAAATTTTGCGTGTTAGGTCTCTCCCTTGCTTGCTGCGCCCTGGCCCTGGCCTTGAGGAAGAGTCACAATGTAAAAGTCGGAGTGGATTTAGAATAAGGGTTGGCCTCATCAAATGTTTCTCCTTCTGTAAGGGAAGTTTTTGTTGTCATCACTGTTAGGCTGGAGATATCGTGTGTGAAACTGACCCCAAGACACAGTGATCCTTGCAGTTGGCCTATATAAGCCCAGAAGAAAGGATGAGAAATCTTTCATTTGGAAGAAAACTTTTCCACCGTATGCTACTGTATGCTATTCAGTGTAGCCTTGGTACCTACTCTAATGTTCCGTCTCACAAAAAAGAACCAGTTCATTTTTTTAATGTATTTATTTTTGTTTTGTTTTGTGTTTTATTTTTTTGAGATAGGGTCTCACTATGCAGTTCAGGCTGGCCTTGACTTCTCTTTGTAGCCCAGGCTGGTCTTGAACTCACCACGATCTTCCTGCCTTAACCTCCTTAGCCTCGTGAGCTACCACATCCTGCCAAAACTCACTGTAGAGTCAAAGCATTGGAGAGACTTTTTCTAGTGCTAGAATAGCACCTACTTAGGAAACCAGCCTCGTTGTGGCAAATGTTATTGTCCTTAGCAGTGAAAGCATAAGAGTTGCACTATTTTCAGCCTGCCTTTCTTTCCAGGGAGGAAGCAGATTCAGAAAGGCTCTGGAGAGCTGGGGATACAGCTCAGCAGTGCAGCACCTGCCTGGCAAGCATGAGATCCTGAGTTTTATTCCTGTACCCACAAAAAAAGAAGGAAGAGGAGGAGGAGGAGCAGGAGGAGGAGGAAAAGGAGAAGGAGGAGAAGAAGGAGAAGGAGAAGGAGGAGGAGAAGGAGAAGGAGAAGGAGAAGAAGAAGAAGAAGAAGAAGAAGAAGAAGAAGAAGAAGAAGAAAAGAAGAAGAAGAAGAAGAAGAAGAAGAAGAAGAAGAAGAAGAAGAAGAAGAAGAAGAAGAAGAAGAAGAAGAAGAAGAAGAAGAAGAAGAAGAAGAAGAAGAAGAAGAAGAAGAAGAAGAAGAAGAAGAAGAAGAAGAAGAAGAAGAAGAAGAAGAAGAAGAAGAAGAAGAAGAAGAAGAAGAAGAAGAAGAAGAAGAAGAAGAAGAAGAAGAAGAAGAAGAAGAAGAAGAAGAAGAAGAAGAAGAAGAAGAAGAAGAAGAAGAAGAAGAAGAAGAAGAAGAAGAAGAAGAAGAAGAAGAGAAGGAGGAGGAGGGAGGGGAGGGGGAGGGGGAGGGGGAGGAGGAGGAGGAGGCACTGGAACCTCACCACACCACACGCTCAGGAAGTGACGGCATCTACCTTTGGCTGCATCACTTTGTTAAGCCCAGACCAAAAGAATATGCTTCCCCTTTCCCCAAAGCTGGGGAGTTTGGTTTCTGGACTCTACTTAGAGACTAACAAATCATAATTTTGATAGCAGAAAACACAGTTAGGGGAAAGAAGTCAAAATAGTAGCAAAATAGACTGAGTTTGGTTAACAATGAAAAAAAGAATGAAAGTTTGCCCACACAATTTCAGTCAGTAGAAAAATACTCAGCAATCAATTTTTCTGGAAAAAAATCCTGTTGACTTTAGTTATAACTAACTGTGGTACTGGAGTTATCTCAACTGCAAGTTTGGAAGACAAATAAAAAGTAAATGATTACTCTATTTCTACTTAGCTGTTTTTCAGGGAAATGCAAGGCACTGCAGAAAATCGTACCCATCTCTCCTGCTGGTTTCTGTCATCACTTTTTGATATCTTTGAAACAAGCAAGAGTGAATGACTCTCTTTAGCTAGAAGGGAGACAAGAGGTAAATCCTTCCAGTGAACTGCATGGTGAGCTTTCTGGGCCCTGGACACAAATATTTTTCAGTAGAGCCATGATCTTACCCTTGAAGCCTATCCCAAGGCCACTGGAGTGAAATAACTTATGATATCCTCTTAAATTTGAGTACTTCATGGGGCTGGGGGTTTAGCTCAGCGGCATAAGCACCTGCCTTGCAAGCAGGCGGTCATGAGTTCGATCCCCGGTACCAATAAAAATGAAAAAGACAAAAACAAAAACAACAACAAAAAAACCCCCAAATTTGAGTACTTCATTATCCATCGTGCAGATAACTGGTATGGGAATGGGTCTTTCCAACAGTAACTTGATATTTAAGACTCCGTGAACCCATTCTTAAAGTGTTTTCTGGACACATTCATTAACTCCGACACTGTTTCTAGGACACTGACATTGTGCTTAGAAAGGTTTAAAACTTCCCTTCCGTATACTACTCACTGTTGGGTCTGACCCCATGGCATCATGGTAGCTACTGCAAGTGCCTAAGAGTAGGGTAGGCTGTGGTTCTTGCCTTCAGTCCACATGAAATCCAGAGGAATTCAGTCCCTGAGCGAGAAGGGTACTTAGTCAATCTCAGATCTCCAGTACTTGCTTCCACGTCCCAGAGTGAGCCCTCCACGTCGTCAAGGGCAGCGCTCTGGAGCAGCCTTCCACCCAGAGCAGCCCCTCTCTCCAGTGCCCAGCGTCTGCTTGAGACCATTCACGCTCAGGAACCCCTTCTACTCAGGCAGCTCATTGCATTGTGGAATCTTTCTGGTTACTGGAGAGCTTTTCCTTCGACACCTACCTTCTTTGTAGCCTCAGTATAGGCTCAGATTCTGCGCTGTAGGAGCTGCACAGATGAAATCAACTACACAGACTAAATGCCTGGTCTCTAGAAGGATGCATCTCTGCTGAATCCTGCCCACCTTCTCCAGCCCACATTCTCCTTGTTCCTTCAGACGCTGCTCAGATGAACTTGTGTTGAGGCTGCCTGAACACGGTATCCAACAGGCAAGACTGGCACCAGTGGTTAAGCAATGGGATAAGTCATCTTACGATTAGGACTCAAAGTAGTTCTGTAGCTATTGGGGTGGGTGTGGCCTTACACATGCGCATGTGCCTACAAGTGGATGAGCCACAGGTTGGTAGTTACCACGTATTGCCTCCCAGGATAGGAGATTCCTCCTCACTTCTAGAGGCTTCTCTGGACCTTCAGAAGGATCAACAAACCAACGCATACGCCATTCTTCTCCATAGAATGCCCCGATTAGGCATCTTGAATGTGGAAAGGGACAGAAGTAGGCACTCTTGGAAGACCTGGAGGAGGGGGTGAGCCTCCTGCTCATCTTGGACCTGGCAAGGTTCTCGGCTGGCAGTGTTTCTTTGCTTTTTGTTGTCTAAAGTCTGCTTTGGGTATTCTTACTCGAACCCTGGGAGGCAATGGGACACTAACAGATGACAGCTTGAAATGGAGAGGGTGCCAATCACAGGGCCAGGGCAACCTAGGTAATGTGGGCAATTTCCTCAGTCTGCACCACGATTGGGCAACTGGAAGCCAAGTCATTTAGTGTGTTGTGCAACAGACTGAGCCTCCAGGACTCAGATTCTGGGAGAGACTGAGGCAGGGGGAGGACAGATCCAAGCAGGAAGCGAGGAAGATGGAGAGTGGCCAGACGTGTAGGAGACAGGAGCAGGTTAGGAGCCCTAACATGGAAACAGGATAGACCCAAGCCCAAACCCTGGGGCTACCATTTGCCAGTATGTGATGTTCATGAGAGGCTGAATCTTGCTGACCTTAGTTTCTTCACATGTTAAATAGGAGCAATAAAACCCGGCAAGTAGAGATATGCTGAGGATCTAATGAAGGCCTGGCAGATGATAAGCAAAATGCTCAGTGCAGGGCCTGGCACAGGATAAACTATCGATAAAGGGGAGTCCTGCATGGACACTGGCACTGAGGGTGCAAAGAGGTAACATGCTGACTAAAGACAGCCTTTGTGTTCATGTAGCCTGTATAACGAAGCAACACAGCCTGAAGGCTGAGGGTAAGGGCTCCTTAGCTTTATTACCTGGGGCAAATGAACCTGTTGAGTCTCATACTACTCACCTGTAAAGGCAGTAGTTACAGGAGCATGTACTGCAAAAGATTATCAAGCACCTTAAAGTAGGTGGTATACCAGACATTCATCAGGTAAGCAGCTATATTACCACTTACTAAGAAGTAACACAGTAGATAAAAGAGTCGTGGGTACATTTCTTTGCACCAGTGTGCTGCCAGAGAGAGGGTGTGTGCTGGCAACTTCTGGCAACCAGAGGAAACAGAGGATGGAGAAAGGGAGAGAGTGGTATTGTGGGAAAATAACCAACAGCTCTTTCCCTGTTGCTTGTATGGCCAACCCAAGGAAGTGAGGCAGGGTGCAAGGGTGAGGGCCGTAGGCATAGGTCAGAGCGGCTGGTGGAGCTCAGGGCACACAGCCCTTGCCCAGTCTCCAGCACGGCAGAAAACCAGACAAGGAGGTGTTGGAACCCTGGAACTAGACTCAGGAAGGGGAGGAGAGCAGTTCAGGAGCTTCCGGGGAGGAGATTCGAATGGGCATACAAGAGACCATGCTTGCCCGGTAGGACTCTCAGTTTCCCTTTGGAGCCTATGGGTACAAACGCCAAGGCTGGCTTTCCAGGGATGTGTCCCGTGCGGGGGTACTGGATGCTGCACCTGGAGGAGCCTTTGCTTCATGGAATGCTCTTGACATTCTCAATAATTCTTTTTAACCAGGAGAGTTAAGTTTCTGTTTTCTACTGGCTCCGTGCAAGTCATACAACTGGTCCTGTTCATCTCAAGTAGGACATATGAGAAACCAGATGCTCCAGGTATTCCCAGAAGGGCAGACTCATTTTCAGCTGTGGGCAGGCAGGGGAGGGGAAAGAAGGATGAGGGGACATTTTGTACTTGACCCTGAAGGACATGGGCAGGATTCGGACAAGTGAAAACAAAAGCGTGGTTGTCTGGTCAGAAGCCTTACGTTAGCAAAGTGAGGAGATGGAGAAACACACACTTTCCTTACGGAATGCTAAGAATCCTCTGGGCTCAGAGTCTTTGCTCCTGAGCTGCTGGCGCCTGGGCTGTGCCTGGGCTGTGACACACTCAGCTGGCCTTTCTAGGGTGGCCTCTCCTTCACGGTCTTTCTCAGACTTTCCCTACAAGTGCCATCTGCTCAGCATCTGCCCAGTGAGTGCATTAAACTTGGCCCTCGAAGCTAGTCTTGAAGTCAGGAGGATGAGGAGAGCAGGTCCAAAAAGTCAAAGGGAAATTCTTAGCTGAAAATGTGGTTACTGAAATAAAAATGAAAAATGTGTAAGTAGGTCAAATAATAGAGCAAATACAGATCAAGAAAAAATTCAGTCAAGAACCCTCAGCACCTCATTGACTGTCTCTGTGTCTTTTAGAGCACAGCTTTCGTGTAGCATTGGGACAGCAGGCAAAGGGTAAAGGAAGAATTTTGATCAAGGTCTCCATCTTCTGCCCCACACTGCCACAACCCCGCATCTGTTCAAGAGAAATCCTCAGACAGACATGACTACAGTCAAACCATGGTGACACCAACGAGAGGGAAAATGAAAGGAAGAAGCCATTTTTCTTCTAAAAATCTCACAATTTCTCCCTCAACCTTCCTACCCTAAACTTTGTGTTTAAATATTATTTCTATTAATGTGACACAAATTTAATGGTTTGTAGAGATGTAACATGTTATAGATAACATGCCAATATATGATTCATTATGTTTCCATTTGATTTACACAATTTTTTTTTAAACCAGGGATTGAATTCACAACCATACGCTTGCAAGGCAGGTGCTTATGCCACTGAGCTAAATCCCCAGCCCCAATTTACACAATTATTAAACTGTCACATGATTAACAAACTTTTGCTTGCTCTTGGTCCATGGCTTCTACAGGCTTGAAGTCTTTCTCCTAATTAAACAAGACAGATTTGTATAGATAGCTAGTGTGTTTTGTGCAGACCCAAGGCCTTGGACTCCCTCTCAGCCCTGTGGCTACTGATGTGGGGACAGGTGGGACATAGGACCTGCAGAAAGGGTGCAGACCTTCTGGGGCAGAACCCATCTCCAGGGCGTGGAGGCAGGGGCTGGACACTCTGTGGTCACCTGGAAGAGCACAGTGATGTCTGTCACTGGGGTTTGTCTCCTGGCACAGATGTCTGAGTTCTCTTACAAAAAGAACTAAAGAGGCACTGTTCTCAGAAAGCTCAAGTGTCTCCATCTTGATGGCTGCTGACAGCTTGTGACAAGAGTAAAGAGGCATTAGCTTCTAGGCTGCACAGAAGAGAAGCAGGAAAGAGAAGGTCCTCTAGGTGCCAACAGTGCCCAGAGACATGTTCCGGGGTGGGCAGTGGTGGCTGAAGCGGGCAGCAGTGCCTTACAGTAGAAAGCAGTGTCCAGGAATGGGCAAGGGTCTCTAGGGGCACACAGTGGGTCTGGAGCTGGTGCAGTGCCCAGAGGCTAACTTTAGTGCCCGTTGAAGAAATTAATCCCCAGGGACAAGCAGCAGTGCCCAGGGGCAGGGAGCGACATCCAGTGGAGGTTGGCGGCAGCAAGTTGCAAGAAGCAGTGCCCCGGAGAGAAAGTGAGGACCAGGGATAGCTAGCTTGGCTCAGGGGCAGACGGCAGTCCCAGAGCATGAAGTGCCCCCAGGGGATGGCAGCGGGGTCCTGGGGCAGGTGGCGGGATCCAGGGTTGGGCAGTTGCACTCGAAGAAAGCAATGGAGCCCAGGGACAGGCACAGTCAAAGGACAGGAAGCTGTGTCTAAGGGTGGGCAGGGATGCCAGGCATAGCAGCAGTTCCCAGGGACAGGATGCCCAGGGACCCTGCAAAAGGGTCACAGTCCTCTTCTAGTCCCTAGGTCCCTTGGTCATTCTACAGACTTCTTAAATAACAACGTCCCCTCATTATGAATAGCTAATATACAGCATGACTCCTAAACAGACAGGATGACATGTCACCAAAAGAAATCTGGTAGCATTGTGGATAAAGAGGTATAAGAAAAGGTTACCAGGGAAAGTTTAATGCAACAGACTGTGTCGTGGAGCACTGCAGAGAGGGGGCGGCAGCACGGTCTCTTTGTAGGAAATCCAAAACTAACAGTTCAAGGTGGATGGACTCTGACGCAATGAAAAGTCCAAAGTCAGCTTGATATGCAGGTGTCCTCTGTCCATGGTTCAAACCTAAGTACAGGGAGAAGCTATTGACCAGACAACCCCAGTAGGGTTGGGGGAGCACAGGGGATCTGGAAAGAATGGGGGTGGGCCTAAGGCCCCCTCATTTCCATCAGCACTTCCTTCCTTGACCATGAGTGATTGGTGTTTTCTGGGTATTTTGGGGGGGTCTCACCGCCCAGTGTCAGCTGTTCCCCCTTTGTACCCCCACCAGGGCACTGTCAGCCTCACTTCTGAGAAAGATGTTTCAACTCACCAGCATCAATAAGCCACAACCCTGAGAGGCTTATTTTTCTCCATGCACACACATGCACAGACGTGTGTGCCTCACACTTATAGCCCAGACCATTTCAGGGTACAGAAGGGCAGAGCCGGGATCCTGCCCTGGAGATGGGGCTTTCTTTCTCTGTCTCTTTGAAGGGGCACCATACCATGTGCTGGCCTGGGGAAAGGCACTGTGCTGATTACTTGAGGAAGTATGGCCCAACGCATATGCCATTTAAATAGATGCCCTTAAATAAACCCAGGGAAGAGATCGCCTTTCAGAGTTCACAGTCCTGCTTTTGCAGCAGCCACAACTTACCTGATGGCCCCAGCCAGCACAGGGCCTCCTTTAGGTGATGTGAATGGCGGTAGCCAGTATCTAGCCCTGGGTCAGATACAGGGAGGTGAAAAGGACACTGCAAATGAGTGTGTGTGGAGGAGGTAGGGGCAGATGGAGAAAGTGGCTGAATGGAGAAAAGGGCTCACTGCTAGACATAGCACGCCAGTAGAAGAGCCCGCCCGTGAGCCAGGGTCACATGCAGCCAACACTGGATCAGGGTGGCCTTGTTGGGTGCAGCTAAGTGCTGCAAAATGGTCTGAGCTCAGGGACCCATTGCAGAGGGTGGGGTGGAGTCTGACTGAGCTTCATCCACCCTGCACTGGCCAGGCCACTCTGAGCAGAGGCTGGTGCTGGTACCCTGGGTTCCCCAGAGCCTCTTGAAGTCTGTGCACATAGCAGGTGCTTAATGAACGTCAAATGAAACAATAGAGTGCACTTTTTGATTTTGTATTTCCCCTTGAGAAAACTTACAATTCCTTGTAGACATCTTTTATACTAAATTAAAGCTTTAAACTAACACCCTCTGTTTAACTGTGATCGATCTCTCTCCCTTAGTGTAATTTTGGTCACTTCCTCTCTATTCCCCTGTCAGCAAGAGTACTGAAAGTTCTAACCTGGGCAGGAAGAGTCAGGGGCTCAGAGGCCTGGGTTTCAGTCAAAAAGGGGAAATGAAATGACACTAAAATAGACTTAAAGCCAGAAGCAGTCCTCACAGGTTCCAGATCTGCATACTTCTTCAGGACCTTGAAAGTTTGCTCTTCTGCCATAGGTCAGGTCTAATTTCTCTGCCCTGGAGTATGACTGAGCCTTTGTAACTACCAAGGAGTGAATGGAAATCAGCTGCCAGACCTGTGAGAAGAGTCCAGTTAATGTTCTCAGTGCCAAGCCTCTGAGCTGTCCCAGCTGACACCACGTAGAGCTGAAGGATTGTCCCCATGAAGTCATAATGCAGATTTGTGAGGAAGAATAAGCACTGCTGTGTGAAGCTTACTACATGTCAGGGACATTTATTACATGACAGTTGCATCAAGGGCATCATCGTTACGGCATCGTGAGGTTCTCACCTAGTTTCTTGTGAGACTCTGATTTTTCTTCAACAGCAGTTGCTGGGCAGAATTAGACAATGATTCCTACTCCAGCCAATATCAAAATTCCTTAATACACAAACCACAAAGTACAGAGGTGTGAACTCACACATGTAAAGTCTTTATGATTTGAAGGCTTACAGCTTCTTACGATGGCTCTAATGGTTAGACCCTTTATTCACCCAACCCCTTTGTTATAATTACTCTGCCCACAAAATTTAGTACAAAACCCCTGTCTGTGATAGGTGACATCAATTCAAGTGACAACTTGACAACATTACTGTCCAATGAGTGATGTGCTTGGAGCTGGAGTAGCCCCATTCTTTCCCCCCAGGTTGTCACTTCCCTGACCCTGAAACATTGTACAAGAGTCCAAAATTGGTTTGTTTGGCTGTAATATAGGTGTGTCCATACCTGTCCCAGGACCTTCTGGACTGACAAGCATGTTAGACTTGTGGAAGCTCTGTGACTTGCGCACATGGAAGACATGTGGCATCTCTGCTCTTCCTGGGACACCGAACACCGGAAAAAGTATTGAACAGACCAGGACTGAGAATAGAGCTCTGTTTTGTGCCAGTAGAGCCTGCCTCCCTCCCCGATGACACTGGTCCATTCATCACACAGCAGGTTCAACCCCAGTTAGTGCGGTGTGAATCCAGCCAGGTGCCTCCATTGCATCCCCAGGGATATCACAGCTGACTCTTCAGACACCTGGTTTGGAACCTTGTCTGTCACCTTTCCTGACATCCTAGCTTAACGATCCAGCTCAAAGAAGAGACAGGTTCAAGTAGACAAGTTGTTTCTAATGATCAGCCCAGTGATTTCTACAACTGTTGGTTAATGCTTTTGTGGGGTATTTTTTAAAGTTAATTTTGTTAATATTTTTGGTAAAATCAAGCTCTAAATCAAAACACAGCCTTGGAGTCTGATCTGTCTTCTAGGATTAAGAGATTCTAAGGATAGGAAGTCAATGTGGATTATTTGAGTTTGCACTGAAAATTATCATAATGTGATTTATTTACTAGCTTGACTTCTTTCTTTCCTTCCCTCTTTCTCTCTTCTCCTCTTTCCTCTCTCCTCTCCTGTTTCCTGTCTCCTCTCCCCTCTCCCCTCTTCTCTCTCTCTCTCTCTCCTGCTCTTTTTGAGACAAGCTTTCACTAAGCAATTCAGGCATTGAACTCACTTTGTAGCCCAGGCTGACCTCCAATTGGCAGCAACCCTCCTGCCTCAGCCCCCGGAGTGCTGGGATTAGAGGTGTGCCCCACCATGCTTCATGTAGCAGCAATAACCAGAAAATGCCTTCAAAAAACCCTGGCGGGGAGGGGAGGACGACACGACTTTACAGCTCTCACACCATTGTTTTAGCGCCATCTGGAGATCAATATTGTTTATTGCAGGTGGGAAGGAATAGAAAAAAATTAAACCTTCCTAACCTTAGTAACATAGAGATACTAACTTACTCCTTTTGCTCCTCTGTCCCAAGAGAGGCATTGCAGCTGTAACTCTATTAAGTAGATACTTCTACTAACAGCATTTTACTAATGGAGACGTTGAAGCAGTAAGTGGTAGAACTAGAATTCCAAGGTGCTAAGTCTGATTTTAGAACATATGCGGATTACCCACTACAGTAGATAAAGCTTCCCATTGTGCTTCTATAGCCTGTTGAGATAAATGGCGTCTGAAATATCAAGAGTAGAATGAGTGTCAGTGAGAGCAGAAGGCAGACAAGTGGGGAAGACCTGACTGATTATACAGTCTCGGTATGCTGAGTACATGGAGAGCTGCTACACATGCCTGGGAGTTAAGGCATTGGAAGAGAGGGGCTGAAAACTCAAGATGGGCACTTTCCTCGGAGGTAAGATCAGGACGCCGAGGTGGGCATCAGTTTTAAGCACCCAGGTGTGAGAGAGCTGGTCCCTAGGTCTCAGCATGGGCTCCCTAAGAATAAGCACTGTCACACACGTCCTATTCCTGACAGATTGTGGTAATGACTGGATTTCAAGGCCTCTCAGCATACCTTTGTGGGCATGCTAAAGAAAAATGGCTAGCAGCAAAATTAGTTATTTTCACAGAGGTTGACAGGCCCTTACCCTGTTCTCATGATTAGGAACCTAAAAGAGAATTTTAGCAGAAAGATCCATGAGTTGGCTTCCATTCCTTGGCCGCACTTTCATTTACCATTTGGGGGAGAATCTTATGTCTCAGCCAATACAGTGTGCAGACCGCAAGGGAGGGGCACAGGCAAAATACTGGATGAGTGAGTCAGGGGGATGTCAAACTGCTTAACCATCTGGGCCACTGGGCTGGCTCGAATGAGAGGTAACCGAACAGGAGTGAATACCAGCCCCACCCAAGGGGCTGGTAACCGAACAGGAGTGAATACCACCCCTCTGAAGCTTCCTCCAGAGGGGTGACCTGGCTAGCACGCGTGAGACTCTCTGGAGTAGTGCTGCTAGCAACAAAAGTGTAACAAACTATACACGTAACTGAACATTTTAGTAGCCACATTTTAAATACTAAAAAATGGAAACCTGGAGGAAATTTTAGTATATGTATTTGCTTTGTTTTTTACTAGGGATTAAACCCAAGGTCTTGACGCACACTAAATGGTGTTCTACCAATGAGCTACACGCCGGCCCTTTTTGAGACAGGATCTCACTACATTGCCCAGGCTGACCTCAGACTTGCAATCCTCTCACCTCAGGCTTCCCAGTCACGGGGATTACAGACAGGTACCCTCCACAACTTTCTTTTTAATCAAATACTTTAATTTCAAATGCTTCTGTTTTACCATAGTCAATATAAAAAGTTAAAAATATTTTACATTCTTTCTTAAAGTAAGTCTAGTGTGTATTTTACACTTCAGAGCAGCCTTGGTTTAGCTCAGCACATTTGGAGTGGCCAACAGTCACATGTAGCTACCACTTGCGACGATGCTGCTTTATAGATCAATTCTCAGCTCTGTGAGGAAACTGCCTTCTATGTGGTTTGTGTTTGTTTGTTTTGCTTTTTGCTGTGCAGTTCAGGATGGTCTTGAACTCATTATGTAGCCCAGGCCAGCCTATAGTCACAGTGAATTTACTGCCTCAGCCTCCCTAGTGCTGGAATTACAGGTGTACCCTACCATGCCTCGCTTAATTTTGTCATTCTTAAAACAGCTACATTAATAGTGTGATTGTCCCCAAAATTATTCCACTCAAAAATATTTTCCCCCCTTAGGATTCTGGATACTTTGGTGCATGCCCCCTTGCCTGTAACTCAAACTGACCGTGAATGCTGGGACCATTTACTTCACTGACTGAACTACTGGAAATGTGAGCCCTGACCAGATGTATTTTTCTTCTCCGATCTCCCTGAGTTCTGGGGTGTCTTTCTGTTTAGAAGTTGTTATGTTAGTAACTGCTTCTCTCTCTCAATAAATAGAATAAAACTCTCTTTCCATTGCTTCTAACATCCAACTCAACTTTGTAATTCGGCTTTAGGTTCCCACACCTCATTTCCACAGTGATTTTGGAAGCCAACAACCTCACCAACGGGAATGCAGCCAGGGAGCAGGAATGATGTCTGCCTAAACAGATGTGAAAAGTGCACAGATACTGCCCTGGATTAGCTTCACTTTGCAAATGAGAAAATAGACCCAGACAGATTGAGGCTTCACGAGTCACAGAGATGAAGCCTGATTCAGGGCCAAGCATCCTTTCTGCCCCACTTCCCAGCTCCTGGAATGGTTTTTCTTCCTTGCAGGTCTTAGACCCTCTTTCCTGCTCTCCGATCATCACCTGGCATCCTTCCACACTACTTCCCTACTAAGGAGTTTGTCTGCTGAATCCATTCTCTAGAGAAGGCTACTGGGCTCAGATCTGTGTCCTACCACTTGTAAGCTGGAAGATGTAGCTCCTTCTCCTCATCTGTAAACTGAGTAATAAAAATCTCTCATCCCTGTAACAGCTTATCTATGTGAAGTACTTGGAACAGAACCCAGCTCATAGTAAGCACTCAGTATTTTAAAGTTTTTGTCTCATTTACACGCTAATGCATACATGAAAGCCTCTGGCTTGAAAGGAAATTCTATTTTGACTACCTCTGAGGTCCAGGAGCCCATCTACAACAGTCCTGGACAGATGGTTATCTTGTCTCGGGGACCTTGCTGCATTTGGGAGCAGCATTCCATCTTTGGAGAGCACCGCCTCCAGGAAAGCACCTGGGAGTCATTTTATGATCCTCTTCCCATTCCCACCTTCGCCTGTCACTAGTTTACTGCAGGAAATTCTATGGAACTTTAATATAGATCTTTGTTATGTGCCTTGGATAATGCAGAGAACCGAAGCTCAGATCCGACAGTGAAAGGGTATCTTTCATGAGATCTTTCTCCTCAAGACTAGTAACTCCAGCTCTCAGCATCTTGACTGATCTTGTATGCACTGGAAAACTGGAAATAATGAAAAGCAAGTCCAAGTAATGATCAAGCATTCTCCTGAGCTAAGATAAATAATGGGAAATGTGATTGTATCTAAATGCCTCTCAACCAGAGGCAATGTGATACACAATGAATCTTAAATGCATGGAAAGCCTGGCCCATGCGGAAATATTCACATGATTTCATCTGACTTCTAGTAGCTGCACTGGCCGCTGCACAGCCGAAGGGAAGGATGCTCTAGGAACTGCACTGACTGTAGGAGGGCAGCTGCACACACACTGCAGTAGCAATCATTCCAAAGCTTTCAAATTTTCGCTAGCAGAGGCACAAAGTCCAAAGTACACGGGAAGTGGAAAGAGATGTGACTGTGCAACGTAAAAAAATGAGGGGGTCAGGAGCCGGATGTGCTCCGGTCATGTGCTCTCTCCAGATGACACTGGAAGCAAATGTAGTTTGTAATTTTACTTTTCTAAGGTCACTTCCATAGCCAATGCCTCGTTCTAAAAATAAACCAAAGGTTTCCTAATTATGAGGTTGACTGAGATTATATACATGAAATTTTTCTCAACAATAAAGTATTCATATCAGATTTTATTGTTCCCAAACGAGAGAAAATAAACGTTCTCGAGACAATCAGATCTTTTTGTACTCTTTGATTTTTGTAGCCTGTTCTCTAATGTACTCGGTTTCTTCGAGCTCTTTGCTAGAAGACGCCGTGTGTGTTTCATGGAGCAGGGGACTGCATCTCATCATTCTTTCGCATGCTTGTATGTCCATCTTGCTTAACGGGGAGAGGCCAACCCAAGTGCTCACAGGAGAAAAGAAACAGGAGTCAGGAAAAAAATAACAAGATGTATTTAAAAACAGACTTCTCCAGTTGGCATTTTGAATGAAGTAACTAACAATTATCTCCAACCCTTTCCATTGTTTCTTTTGTTCTTAACAGTCCTCTTGCAGCTTTAATTCTTGAAATTCAGGTGGCAGCACCAGACAATGTATCCCCAAAGGGAGAGGTATTAGTTAACCATTTTCCTGGCCATTCTTGTCTGAATGCAAATGGACAAATTCTCACGCCCCCTTATTCACATCATGATGACCATTAGGAAAAAAATTAAACTTGCGTATGAAAATAAAAACAAAACCACACACAAAAACCCTGCAGATAATAAATATCGCCGATTCACTTATTTTCAACAAAGTCCGATTTTATTCCCTCAGTATCCTTGCAGTCCATTGTACACCTTCTGCACTGAGCCTTGTTTCAGAAGCTGTTTGATTCCTGCAGAAAGAATGAACAATGACTCCATTAACAAAATCTGACTCTAAGAGTTTCAAAAGCCAGTTTCTGGGGAGAGACTCCAGGAGCCGCATGATACCCAAAGATCTGAATGAAATAAATAAGCAACTGCCAGCTGCAACACATCGCATCTTGAACCCCTCCCCCCCGCAGTTTGGTTTATTCATTGTAAGTGGTTTAGTTTTACCCTCATACGATCTGAAACATCCACATTTCAAGCCCCGCTCCCACTGCCTTTTCACACAGTAATGGCAGGATTTTTATTATCGCTCTTTATAGAGAACGATCAGTTCACTGCCACCTTGTGTTACACTAGTGCTAACAGATGAGGGATCCTGTCATCATTGAACAGTTCTGTTTTTATTGTCACTTTGCTCTCATACAAATGCACACACACACACACACACAGGCACACTCATTATACACCCTACCTTCTCTTGCTTCCTCTGTTAACTGTTCTTTTGGAAAATCCACATCAAAAGTGATTATCAGAGAGCCCTTGATGTTGTTATTGTCGAAGTTGGGGAGCCCTTCTCCTTTCTTCCATAGCTTGGCTCCTGGCCTGGTGATCTTGTCCCGGGAAATGTGTACCTAGAAAGCGAAAGAGACCAGCCTGGCGTGGACTGGCATACCCACGGACCCCAGCATGGCTTCCGGTGTGCACTGGTGCACCCAGCAGAGGTCACAGCTCAGCAAACAAAGGATAAGAGGCAGTGAAAACACTTTTTAAAAATACAGAGAAAAAGCAAATAGAGAAGGAGTAAAATGTAAGTTTTTTGCCAATGGAAATTGTAAGAATGAGCGTGTCAAAGGCTATGCCACCAACTCTGAGTGGCTGTTGATGCTGGGTGCTCAGCAGCTGAGCAAGCAGAAAAAGCAGAGTAAGACTGACAGAGGACTCCCTGTGGCCCTAAATGATGGAAGAGGCTGAAATAATCTAAAACTCTCTATTTGAAATCTTTTGAAGAGCTTTAAAAGACCGGAAAATCGGTTTGCTTACCTTGTGACCATCCAAGTGAGTAATGTCCATCTCAAAGCCGACCAGAGCCTCCACCAGGGAGATCGTCACGTTCGTGTACAGATCATCTCCTCTTCTTTCAAATATTCTATGCCTAAAATTAAAAGGTAAATTTTTCAAACAACAAGCATTAGACACATCTTTATGTATAGCACTGAGACTTCAAAGTTATATGTGTCTTACTGAGCCTTATGCTTAAGGAGGGTACAATCAACAGAAACCAAAATATGGAAGGAAAATTCTCAGTTTTTAGGTTATAAAAAAGAAGTAACGGTCAGCAGCAGGAGCTGGAGGGGTGGGCAGCAGCAGCAGGCCGGTGGTGGTTTTCTGAGCTGGACCCCTGAGGCAGGTAAGGACTGGAGGTGCAGGTAAGTTGGGGACAGGGAAAGGGGACTGGTGAGGGGGATCTGGCCAAGATCAGGACCTGGGAAGGTACCAGGCCTGCTGAAGGAACAGCACATGCTTGTTTCTCAGGGAAGTGATGAGATGCACAGGTGGGTAGGAAAAGTTGGAGATCAATGAGTGAGAAGGGAAAGTCCTCAACAGACAGAAGCTAAAACTGAATCCTTAGATGGGCAGTATCTTTGATTTCTAACTGGTAATGGGAAATAATAAGCAAGGCGGCCAAAGTTCTGGGCAAAATTACTGTCTAGGCAGTGGTCGTGTTAAGAGATGTCTGTAAACAAAGCACCTGCGTGTAATGTAACAGAAGGTCCTTTCCAGGGAAAGGCCTCCCTTCTGGAATCATGCACAGTTCATCAGCTAAAAAAATCACAGCTCTCTTTGGCTCCCTTTCCTGTTAACCTTTAAAATAAAATAGCTCCTGACATTTCCATTCCTTCCTCTTGGATTTTATAAATCTTACATCAATAGACACTTTGGGCTCAATCCCAATCCCCAATCTCAAATTTTTAGTATTGCTGTAGTTATGAATAATTGCTAATGATATAATGGAGAAAAACAGAGGCAAAAGTCCACATGTAATATCTCTATAATGAATCATCTGAAAAGCAGGGGTTAAAGAGCCTGTAAAATTCAAATACTTACTTGACGACTTTGATTCGGAACCGCAAGTCTCCAGGCTCTCCATCCACATGAGGTTCACCTGGTCAAGCAGATTACAGAACACAGGAAGTCACACACACACACACACACACACACACACACACACACACCCCACAAAGCCACTGGGCAGCAAGGAGAATTTACTGCCCAACCTAGAATTACCCATCTGCCTTTATCACTGAATTAAAATGAATCCAGTAATATCTGGACATGCAAAATTTTGACAAAACTTAGGCTATCTGAGAGTAACTTTTGGCCCTGATAGTCAAAGAATGAACAGTGAAGCTGGTGCTCCTGTCACTGGCTGTAACATCCTAAACCTGGCTGAAGTGTGTTAGATTATAAATTTGTTGACCATGCAGCCATCTGAGACATGCAGCAAGGCAGAAGAGAGAGGTCTTCATAAGCAAGCACAAGTGGATCCGACAGGAAAATCATCAATATTTCACCTTCTCCAATGAAGGGGTACTCCATGCCGTCTCTCACTCCAGGTTCTATTTCTACTTCCAGTGTTCGTTCTTCATTTACTAGTCTGAGCCAAAGAGAGTGTAAAGAGAAAATGCAAATGAAACCCCAATGCATATGAAGTTTTACCTTTTATCCTAGCCAAGCTTTTTCTTGAAGACTTCATTGTACCTCTCCCTGACAAAGCTCTCTGAGATCTGTCTACTTCTTCTATGTGCCACAATTCAGGGCATGTGCATTACAAAAATATGTGAGATTGTTCTAATAGCCCAAGAAGGAAAACAAAACATTAACATCTGTCAAGGATACTCAGAAGTAAAAGACACTGCTTATTAGTTTAAAAATTAAAGGGCAATATTTATAAGAAAGACTACAGGAAAAAAAGTTCAAAATGCACATTTCTTTGCTCTGGCCTTGGGAGAATATGGTACAGAGAGCTAAATACAGACAGTAAGAGTTTTATTGGACAAATGAGGCTTTCAAGCATTGATTGGCAGAACCACAGAGGTGACTGCACTTACTTGACATTAGGGCACTCATCGCAGACCACTTCCTGGGTCATCTGGAAGCGCCCAGGGCCCAGCTGTGTGGTCCGCATCTCTTGCCGACAGTTACATTTCCGTTTGCCAGGAGCCTGCCTGGCCACAGGCTTGTTTCTAACTACCTGAGGAGTGCACAAAAACAGGCATCAGTTCCTCAACAGATGACAGCGCTGCACACCTGCCTGGCTGGAACTTCTCCTTTTCTAGAAATCTATCCCTCAGGGGAGATAGATCCCTCAGGGAGGCCTCAGCTGACAAAACACCTCAAGAGTAAGATGAGCCCCAAGCAGGAACGAAACAAACACATGCTTCACCCACTCACACCGGCTCGCAGCACTGGTGGTACACACACGACTGCCCCATGGGGTTGTTTGCATCACCCAGTGGGACTGTCCTGTGCTGCCCAATGGGACAGTCATGCATGCACCACTGGGGGTTCAGAGGTCTTCGGCAATGAGACATGAATTAGTCTCACTTGCAGTGTGTTAAATGACTCAAATTCTAAAGTTGGAAAAGATACAGCGGAGTAAGAAGTGAAATGAAAAATAAAACGCATGATATCGGCCACAAATAAGCACTGCTAAATTAAATTAGTTCACAGAATTACTACGCTGTAAGAAACTTTAAGTCATGTAAAGTTTAAACCACTATGTTCAAAAGACGCTACGTGGTTACCATCTAACCTTATGATTAATGAAAATGCTTCCTCATTTTAGCAACTCAGTCTAGGACTACTTTCCAGGGCTACCTACATTCACACAGGACAATATATAGCAAGAGACATAATGACTGCCCCTTTGTAGCTGACTGCAATGGAATGGCTGCTCCCTCTACGTGAAGCTGATCTATATAAGGAAATGCATTCCTATTTTTTCTTAATCACAAGACAACATGCTCACACAGCAAAATGACACACGCAGAATAGAGAAAAATCTCTTCTGGCCTATCAACACATAAAAGACCCAGTCAACCAATAGATCAGAGCAAGAGCGCAGTGATTAGAACACACTTCACAGCATTTACTACCTGCCAAGCGGTGCTCTGAACACTGGGACGCATTTACACATTCATTTACGCCTTGCAACTTTACAAGGCAGGTCTCGTTACGATCTTCATTTTATAGGTGAGGAAATGGTAGCACATGCAGGTTAAATTAAACGACCAACCAGTTACTAATACACGGCAGAGCAAGGATTAGAAAGTAGGTTAGCAGCAAAATCCATCCCAGAATTTTAAAAAGCTGAATACATCTCAAATTAACACATCTCAGACTCCTCATTTTAGAGCAGCATTTCTTAAAAAAAAAAAAAAAAAAAAAGACACAAAAACCAACCATAAAAGACTGATAGATTTGACCACATGAAAACAAATACTTTTGTTTCAGATACAGTGGCCCACGCCTGTAATCCCAGGCTGCAAATTCAAGTCCTGCCTGGTCAACTCGGAGATTCTGTGCCCCAAAATAAAAAATAACACGGGGCTTAGAATTAGCTTAGTGGCACAGCATGTCTTGGTTTCATCTCCAGGACCATCAAAAACAAACAAATAATACTTCTTTTCATTGAAACAAACATCAGATATAACAAAAAGATAAATTTTAGGATACATCTGTATTAGAGTCAACCAAGAGTTGGTAGCAACAATTAAAGTCCTGCTACCTCAGTAAAATGCTCAGAACTCAGGAAGAATTTTCAGAAATCACTCAGAAAAAGGCAAAACAGAAAGATGAAATGACAAACGGGCATTTTGTATGGCTAAGAAATGTGAAGAGATGTTTATTGTAATCGGTAATCAAGAAAACACAAACCGAAACCATAATGAGACAACATTTTATATCTATCTGATGAGCAAAAATTAAAAGGTGGCAACGTATGATTCCAATACCAGCACTGTGGGAGGCAGAGGCAAGAGGATCACAGGTTCAAGCCCCGCCTGGGCAACTCCGTAACTTAGTGAGACCTCATCTCAAAACAAAACAAAACAAAACAAAACAAAACGGGAGGTGGGTGGGGATGTGGTTCAATGTGAAAGACATGTTTAAACAGGTTTCATAAATTGCTGATGGAAGTTTGGCACAATTTCAAAAATTTGACATTAACTCATAAAGCATAAACATAGGTTCATGTTACACAGCAATTCCAGTCTTTGTATATGTTTACCCTGGAGCTATGCTTGCTTGTTCATGTGTACCTAGAATATGTACAAGACTATTCACAGAAGCACTCACTGTTTGGAATCTAAAAGAAACTGGAAACCTAAATGCCTACTGATAAACTGTGGATATGGTGAAATTTTATCCAGTAGAATGATAATTATAAACAAGGGTGAATCCTAGCAACATAACAGTGATAACCCTTTTACAAACTCAAAAACGACAAATATAAATAATGTATCATTCAGATGTTCATATACAGTACAGTAATGAACAAGAAGAGCAAAGAACAGTACTGATGAAATTCAGGTAATATTACTGAATCACTTTGGAAAGGAAGCAAAGGGGATGGAACAGGGAAGGAGCGCGTAGGTAAATTAAACTACACTATGGTTTTACTTAGTTCTTGGGATGGGTAATAAGTCTATAAACTTATGCAACAGTGTACCATTTACCAAGAGTTATGATTAATTCAATTCTGTGTGTCCGTCGCTTCCTTCATTCTCTAAAACACAGAGAAAGTACACTAAAACCTCTCAGTCCTAGTCAAAGTCCAAGTCCAGAAGTCAACAGTAGTGGCGTTAGTGTTTGAACTTACTTCTACAAAATTTCCTGCGTACACTTCTTCCAAAGTGACTTCCAGATCTACGACAATATCACTTCCTCTTGGAATGTTTCTGTCTTGCTGACGAGGGGTTCCTCCAAACATGAAGCCAAAATCTCCAAAGAAGCTATAGATAAGTGTGAAATCATCAGGAAAAGAAATCTGAGTTTATGTCTCATGAGTATTTAGTTTTCTGTACAAGGATACATTATCGCTGGTTACCGACCTATTGAGGAAAATTGCATATTTTAAATACACTGTCACACACCACACAGTTTTTACATAATATGAACTACACTACAAGTATATCGCTGCCCATCACAAAAACTTTACCTTTTAATACAACATGGTCTGTTTATAAAGGACAGCACATACATATACAGTATGCTTATGACCCAAGTGCTGGTCTCCACCAATAAAATAATCTGTTTCAACACTAAGAAAATCGAGGTAGACCAGATTTACTGAGAAAGAGGAAAGCAAATATAAACCTGAGTAATGCTGAACTCAATGGATAATTTAAGAAATCTGTAAGAGTAATTTTGAACATATATAATGTTCACTTTATGGGATTCTGGGAACTTAACCTTGGTGAAAGATGCTACTACACTGTACAAAAATCCTGGGTGCATATTTTTTTTAAACAGGGCCTTGGCATGTAGTGTAGGCTAGTCTTGAATTCACTATGTAACCCAAGCTGGCCTCGAATTAGTAGCAATCTTCCTGCTTCAGCCTTCCCAGTGTTGGGATTACAGATACGTGCCTCCACGCCCGGTTGGGGTGCATATTATAAAGCTAAAATAGCATCAGCCTTAGTGAAATTTTAATCTTTAAGGAAAAGGAAATTCTGTCCTCTACAAGACTGAAATTAATTTGTATAAGTAACAAGATAATCACTTTGAGATTAATAAAAACAGTTTCCTCTGAGCAGGCATTCTAATGTTATGTCCATTTCTGGTGGCATTTTAGTTGACTGAGATATTAAAATGGTGATGATGACAGCTATATAAACTACCTCTCCCACCAACCAATCCTGGAGATTGTATCCGGCAACCTTAAAAACTGGGAGGGAGGGTGGTACATGGGCGGGGAAGCGTTTTTTCTTTCTAACACCCTGGATAGCACTCTGGACAGTCATGGGGAACAGACACCTCGTTCAAAGGCTAAAACAGCTAAAGTGACTCCAGGAAAGAGAAAGGGAAAGATACTCTAATCAGATCATCACACATCTTTCAGGTCCTGAAAAGTCTCCCGTCATCCCTAGATGCTAAATGGAAGAAGCTACTGTAGGCCACAGTGATTCTCTTTTGGGGCAGGGATTACAGATGTCTTTGAGAATCTGAATAAAGAACTGAACTATTTCCCTTTAAAAATGCAAATTCAAACACCTTTTAGCTTATAACTTCAGACCTAGAGCCCAGACTAAGATCTCCTAGCACTTGGCATTATCTTACAGAGATTCCAACGTCAACCAAGAAGGACTCAAAGAGTGAAGATCAGGGGGGACAATTATTCAGCCACTGAACACTAGCAGGAGATAGGAGCCTTCCCTCAAGGCGGTTATCGTAATCACCCCTCTCTTGTGATCACCCCTCTCTTGTGGAGAGGCCAAAGAAGCACAAGAGTAAGGACTTTTCTCTGCTTATGAGAATAATTTTGCTCATTAAATAGCTAAGTGATCCATTTCCAGATGCTAGTGTTTTGCAGATGGGTAAATTACTCACTGTGAAAAAATGTCTCCATGGGAGCTCTGGTGACCATCTTTTAATCCTTCCTCACCGTAAGTATCATACTGCTTCCGTTTCTCACTGTCTGACAGCACCTGGGGGTAAAACAGCACACTCGGTGATGCTCAGTCAAGGTACATTCCCACTTAGGGTTCTTTTTTCACTCCGGTACTGTTCCTAAGATTTCAGGAAGTGTGGCTTTCATTAATATATGTATTAAGGCATGTTTGCATGCTGTTTTCTCTGACAGATTAAACTTTCTTTGATGTACTGTCCATTCCACATTGCCTAAGGACTCGGGCCCACTTGGGTTAACTTGGAGTTGACTCCAGTGGTGTGCCGCTCATCCTTATGATGTTCTGTCTCGCTTGATAGTACTAAACTAGGCTATGGCTGTGGCAGACGAAAGGAAACAGGATGAAAAGCCCTCCGGTAAGAGCTATGCTGTTCTGCTCTCATACTCCTTATTTTCATGTGTTGGTATATGCAGAAACGCATGTGTGGAAGAAATGTTGCCAGCCAAATTTTGGTCTTTGTCATACAACTTCCTGACTGCAAACTGTATAGAGAGGAAAAAAGGACATCATTCTATGAAGGCAGTTCAAAGCCAGTTTCACTGTTTGGAAAGAATTTTTTAGTTTCAGTAATTTTACATAATTATATAAACGGTCAAGGTTATATACTTTCTCACTAAATCCACTCTCTGTATGATACCCAAGAATATAAAGATCAAGTAGGTTTCTGTGTTCTGAAGAAGAGAAGGAAAAAAAACAACAAACAAACAAACAAACAAACAAACCCACACTAATGTGACCTAATGAAAGACAGTCTGGAAGTTGATGGGGTTTGTTGACCCAGCTGGACGAGAGGAAAGGGGAAAGGCCTGACTGGCATCTTCAGCCGGACACACTTTTGGGTCAGGGACCGGCTGATGTGCAGGATACACAGATGTGCTAGTTATAAGAGGTGAGCCTTCTTTAAAAGCAAAGACAAAGAGTTCAGTGCTCATTAAATCACCAAGTTTCCAATACAACCATAACAAAGGCACTGTGATAGATCAGATGACAGAAAGGAATGTTTTAGAAAATATGCTTAGAACGTAAGTAGTTTAGCGAAGCAAAGATGGGCAAGTTAGCCTAACAACAAAAACAATGTCTTATTATATAACCTGTATTCCCAATATGTTAATTTCTAAGTCTACTTCTCTGATAATATCTAGGCAAAGAAATGAATACTGTATTTAGTCCTATAAAAAAGCACTGTTTCTAAATCTGAAAACAAAGACCATTTAAAATCAGTTTCTTTCTAGATACCAGAGGTTCTGCAATGACTTCTAAAAAACTGTCTGTAAAATTCTCTAGTATCATTTGCTTCCTCTTCACTTAAGAAATACAATTTCATTCCATTGTTTCAGAAACTATTTTATTTCTTTGAGATGTCTCATTATAATGCTGAGCCTGGCCTGGATCCCTGGGCTCAAGTAATCTTTCTGTCTCAGCTTCCCAAGGGGCTGGGACTACAGGTATAAACTACCCTGCCTATCTTATTTATTTAAAAGAATAAAATAAGTGGCCCTTAGTTGACTGGTCAACCAACATACAGATTCTCAACCAATTAAAATGTCAACAGCAATCCCAGCTCAGCAGAGAAAAACAAATTTTATTCCAAAAGACTTTTCGTCTATTCATACTGTTTTGAGATTCTGATTTGTGAACATTCATTTACCTAGAGTGAAAGGCAATCAAGCTTGAGTGATTACAAAAAAAAAGCAAATCTAGTGACTAGAAAGATTGTCAGACTTAAATAAGCTGCAATTTGAAAAAAATGATGTATGTACAGTCTGCACAGGCCACAGATAAAGTGCAGATTAGATTCTTTATGGAGCACTGGAATGTTAAATTCCCTGTGCGGTACTTTTAAGTTCCCAGAAAATGGTATGACTATTCATGAGAAACAGAATGTAAATATGGAATCCATATAATTGACAAGAAAATGTTACATATAATTTAAGAGGGCTATCAACCCTCTCAAGTTTATTCATGGGTCCCAGGTTACAAATTCTGTCCTGTAAAATCCTTGAAGGTATGGAGAGGAGGAGGAACCCAATACAGTATCTAGTGATACAGTGACTGCATTTGTGTATGACAAAAACTGGCCAAGGCTGAGTATTATTAGCTCCTTTGGGTAGACAGCAAGAAGGCTACAGTACATTACAGTCTTCATCCATACTTAATGGGAACCAATGGGGAAGCAGAATATCCATTATCACGTTTTATCTCTTAACTCTGCCTATTACTTGTCTGGTCCATACAGGCATTCAGGTTTGAAACTCCTTTAGGTTTGTTTGTAGTTCTTGCTCTATCTTTGAAGCTAATGGCTGGATAGCACAATTTTTACTTAGTCTCTCCATGCATTCTTCTTCATCAGTATTCTCTCATTAACATAAACGTAAAAAGGGCAAGAAATAGTATTTACGAACATGAATATAGTTGTAAGAGCCAGCACAATATAGCATTGAGTACTACTTTGACTTTTATCTATTCCTAAGTAGAAATGATCTAAAGGAGTGTTTCTCTGCATTTTATAGGCTTTTTTCAGCTCCATAGGCTTTATTCATGTATCATCTTTTTTTCATGCCTCACCTCATAAGCAGCACCCAGATCCTGGAATCTTTCCTGGGCTTGGGGGTCATCAGGATTCCTGTCAGGATGGAGCTGCAGGGCTAGCTTCCTGTAGGCCTTTTTAATGTCCTTGATAGAGGCACTGCGCGGAACCCCCAAGATCTTATAGAAATCTCTCCTGGAAAGGAGGATAGAATACTTCATTAAAGAATTACACATTATATTTTTTAAAGTGAAAGTGTTTTTCTCTTCCTTGACATTTGAGGTCTGTCCCAGCAAAGATGTATAAAAATGAAGGTGTATGTGACACACATGCACATGTACACACAGGAAATGTATTAAAAGTTTTAATGAGTCTTATATGTTGAATAATCAGTGTGAGAAGCAAAGTATTTTAGGGGGAACGTTATTCAAAACATCTGTGGCACTCTTCTATTACAACTGCCTTCAGTTAAACAATTTATCTAGGATCTGAGGGGACAAGAAAGTGACAGATTGTTTGCCTACTATGCACAAGGCCCTGGGTTTGATCCCCAGCACTGCAAAGAAAAGGAAAAGAAAACCATTTTCTTATTTTATGGTCACATGTTATTTCTGGGCAATCATCACATAAGCCAATCAACTCTCTCCTTTTCTCTATACTGACTTCCAATGACTTCTGTTTCCAAATAACAACCTCAGAGAATGGTTTTCTTTATTCAAACAGATTATGTTACATTAACATCCTAATAATAAGACTCAGAACATTAAAAATAAGGTACTTTGCAGCTAACTTTACAGGCTAATGTCATGTTGAAACCTTTTGGTTTTCTTGGCCTACGCTGAGTAAAGAGGAATTGCTTTGGGCTACATATATATATATATATATATATGAATGACTGGCCTTAAACTCACTATGTAGCCCAGGCTGGCCTTAAACTCATAGTGATCCTCCTGCCTCAATCTCCCCAGTGCTAGGATTACCAGGAGTGCATTACCACAGCTGACTGGAGCCTTTATGTTTTAGTGAAAACGCATATGGCACAAGCTGGAAAATAAGATAGAAACCAACAAACCTCCTTAGCAGGGAGTTAAATTAATTACAAAGGAAATAGGAAATGGCAATGCAAAGACAGACTATGATCATAATAAACTTTCAGGACTGAGGCCCTATCTATCCAATTGAAAAGATCAATAATATTCAATGAATGAAATAAATAAATAAGAACACTAAAAATCTACCCCTTTTGCTGGGTAATTTTAGGCACTAGAATTTATTCAGCAAATGCACAATCTCAACAATGAGAGGAAAATTATTCACAATTGAGACACTGATTTAGCAGCGATGGTAATTTAAAAAGGTATCAAGGAAAAATATATTGGTGTTCAAGACCCCAGTAATATAAAACAGTATTTAAAAATTATTTCATTAAGCATTCCATCATGGTTTACAAAAAAAAAATTTATTTTATGTACCAATTTTTAAAAATGATTATCCACAGGGGTTCCATAATAAAATAGGGTTCCCTCAAATACATAAAGCTTTGACACCTCTTGGGATAGGAACTAAATTATAACAAAAGGACTAAGAGTGAGGCTTAATTAAGAATTTGGTTCATATAAGCCTTGTATTATAATAAAAGGACTGGGGATATAGCTCAGAATCAATCTCAGGACCCACCCCACAAGGTAACAGCTCAGAAAAACACAGGGAAAAGATGGGAGGCTTAACTCAGCATCAACATTATATTACTAAGAGACTCCCTTATGAATGGCTGAAGCTTACAGCTATAGTACTAAAAGTGTTGATATTGATGTTTTATTAAATACTTTAGGGTACTTGTGACCTCAGGTGTAAATATTACTAAAAATACATTAAGGAAAAACAACAAAACATTACCTAGGAAAGGTTAACTTTTAACATTTTAAGATTTTCATAAGGAAAATGGACAAAATTTAAGCATATATGCAAAGTTTAGTGTTTACGAAAACAAGCACTTAAGTTTTAAAGCCCGGTAGGTTGTACCTTTCCTATTTAGAATATTCTGTAAATTGCCATCAGCTAAGATCTACTATTTCTTGCATTCTAAAATATAAGTCTATCATACCATATCCTGGTCGCCAGGATTATAGGATCTTGAATTTTACAGGCTGGAAGGATCAAAAGTCCATCCTTTTCCTCTTATCTCTGCATAAGCGTGGCATGCTATAATCCTGTTACAGAGAGGTATTTAGATTGTTTTTTTCCATGTTATGTGATTCATAAGTAGGGTGAGGATGTGTCGGTTAGAATCCTAGCTTACTACCTTTCGGTGAACTACTCTTCCCACTGATACCATTCAATTTCTCAAGATGCACGAGAGAGAGAGAGAGAGAGAGAGAGAGAGAGAGAGAGAGAGAGAGAGAGAGAGAATGAATAAGGCACTATAACAACTTAGGTTGACAGCTCAAGATGCTGGAAAGTCTTTCCTCAGCCTCACTTCCTTCAGTCCTCGCTTGGCCTGGCATTGCCCACTTTAATGTCAGCTCCTAGTCTCAGGCTTCGCGTTGCACTGCCCTCTTCTCCGGCTCGGCAGGACACAGCAACAACCCTCCTCCTTCACCACAATGTGTCCATCGCCTCCACTTCAACCAGGCACTATTATAGTCTCCGCTACAGCGAGGTGTATGCCCCATTCCTTTCCCAGCTCCGTGCGCTTCCGCTCACAACCACTTTTTTCCCTGGAAACTCCATCCGATCCCCAAACGTTGTGTGTGGCACTACATCCAACTACCACACTTCAGAGCAAGCCTGGCTCTCCAGAGCCTCTACGGAGTCCTCTGTCTCGTCACGCAGGCTCTCTTCGAACCTCTCCCCACCCCGGCCCGCGCGAGCCGCCCCTCCAGGGATGCCTCTCTCGGCTCCTGCAGCCGGACCACGCTGCTCCCCGCCGGCCCCGCCTCGTGTCCACCCTCTCTGCTCCCCAGCACAGCCCCGTGCCCGCAGTGCCTCTCCCTCACCCGGCGATCACGGCCCCGATGAGGTACAACAGCAACAGGCAGAAGGTGCCCAGGTTCTGCGGGGCCATGGTCCCTCCGTGCCGGCCCCTGTCCCGCGCAGTCCTCACGGCTTCTTCCGCCGCCGCGCAGGCTTGCCAGCTCTCCTGGCCAGGTGAGGCCGCCTCCCACCGGGGGTCTCCTACTAGGTTTTCACAGACAGCTAGCTTGCCCCTCCTCAGCTAGTCCACTTCCCGGGAGTCCCGAGACCCGGTGAGAGGAGCCCCCGGGCAAGCAAGAGCCAATCGGCGCCCGGGACATCACACGCGGCCGGCACGTGGTGGCCAATCAGCGCCGTACACTTCACCTCCGAGGCGGCTTGGACAGCCAGTTAGGCTTCCGAACTACAGCCGCAATTTCTAACCAATCAGAAGAAGAAACGTCGAGGTTTGCGCCGCCGTAGGAAGCCGCTCAATCCGGACTACGGTGTGTCGTAGAAAATTACGTAAAGAGTAGGGGCGGTGCCAAATGAAGGTACCTGGGATAAGCGACGCCCCTCCTCCTTCCCGCCTCCTCGGAATTTTGCCCAATCACGAGGCTTCTCTGCCAGCACGGACCAATAGAAAGAAGGAATTTTATTTTGATTACAAGTATATTTTCACCTTGCGCCACGCGCGGGATACAGGCTCTGAGGGAAGGAAGGTGAAAGTGCGATGCCCTTCCTGGAGATCGTTAAGATATCCCAACACGTACGAAAATTGTCTCGGTTTCATAGAAAATAAGCACGGTACCTTAGAGAGATAAGCGACCGGGGACACAGACCGACTTAAATTCAGACTAAGCTTCCAGCACTTCTTAGCGGTGAGACAGCCCTCCCCCCCCAATTCCAAGCCTCTTTATTAACAAAACTAAGGTAAAGCACTTCCTGGCAGGGTTGTGAATTTTTAATGGAGGAAAAAAGCTACACTTTGCTTAGAGCAGTGGCATGTGGTAAGCAAAGCAATGAATAAAACTATTACTACAGTAACAGTAGAATTCATTCCCTGGTTTTGCTTATTACAGTAAACGTAGCTGTTTAGGACAAAACTCAAGGTGTCTTCCTCGATTCTTTTCACTATAACCTATCTACATCTTTAACTCTCAACTACAGTATATCTTGAATCTGCTCACTACATCCCTTTTAATACGTCTCTGGATCAGGTTTATCATCTGTTACCTGGAAAAGACTCCAAACTGATCTCCTTACTTCCATCCTTAATATTTTTAACACAATATTTTATTATACACCTGGCCCCCACCTCATGATTTTTTTTTAAATCTCAAATCATGTCATTCTTCTGCCTAAAAGCCTCTAATGGCTTTTCATGGTATCTAGACTAAAATGCCAACCCGAAAAACATTTTGTGATTTGTACCTTCACCTACTACACACCCTACCATGCTCCAGAACTAGCTCCCTTTCTGTCTCTTGAATATACAAGCTCCATCCCTTTCAACTACACTTTCACAGAAATGCCAATTTCATGAGAGCATGAAGCTGGACAGTTCTGTTGGCAGCTGCATAAAGCAGCACCTTAGAACAGTGCCTTTGGGGGGTAGTACTTAGTAACTTTTTAGTAAAAATTGCTTTGATTGTGATATGCATGTGGCTTCTTACTCTTTAGGCCTCAGCTCAAATTCTGCACTACAAATTGGTTTTTCCTGACCCGCTTCACCATCCATATGGCATTTTTTATACGAAATTATCCCATTTCTTAATATGTATTAGGTTTTCCCTATTATACACTCCAAGAAATCAAGGACCCTATCTGATCTGTTTACTACTGTAACCTCAGTGCATAGCACTGTGTCAGATACCCAGTGGTGCTCAGCAAATTATTGTTGCAAAAACAAACAAACAAACGAACTAAGGCATAGGCTGGGGCGTGGAGTTCAGTGGTTGAGTCCTTACATAGATTGCTAAATTGAATTCAGAATCTGAAACAAAGGAAAACTGAGCATACAGTTTGTTCAAGATCACTAAAATTAGTAGATGACTAAGTCTAGATCCCAACATGCTTTTAGAAAGCTGCCTAGTAGAAAAAAGAGCCCCTTAAAAGAACTATTGAATTTTATAGTCCACTTTACCTTTGTATGCCTCACATCCAGTAAGACCATAAATGAACTAAGAAATAGGAAAGAAAATGGTTCAGAACTCACAAAATGGAAATGTAAAGGTGTGGCGTCTTTTGCTGGGTGAGATCCAATAAAAGCTCCCTGAAGGCAATAACAGGGCAAGAAAGTTAAGGAGCTAAGGATAAGAGGGGCTGAGACTGAGGGGGGGGGGTAGGGATGGCTTTTTTCAGAAGCTGGAGTTGGAATCTCGTCTCATTTTCTTACTTCGTGACCTTAGGGGCTTGCGTGTTATTTTTACATTTCAATGCCCTATTTCCTCATCGGCACAACAAATATGCTTAACTTGCAGGGACTCTTGGGAAGATGGAGATAATATAAAGCGTTTTACTCAGTGCCAGTCCATATTAAGCAGTCCGGGAATGTAAACTGCGATTATTTTCATTACCGATCAAAGCGTGCTAACCTCACCAGTAGCTACAGGCTGACCACAGTTCTGTGGAGCAATAGAAGACTTCCTACCCCCTTGAGCTGAAAGGCTCGACACGAGAAACCGATCGGGCTGGCTCAGGACAACCACAGCATCCGCAGTTCTCGACTTCAACGAAGCTCGTTCTTGATGCTGTTGGCGGCAACCCACCGCTCTAGCAAAGCAGTCCGCCGGCGCTCGGTGGTGCGAGGCCCTGCGCTTGCGCGGTGGGCATCGCGGGGAGGAGCTGAGGGAAAGGGTTTGGTGGGCGCGCAAGATGCTGGGTGCGGCAGAGCGCGCAGAAGTGGGGCCCACGGGTGCCCAGCTTCACAGGTAACTGCTCTCGGCTCGGCGGGCCTTAGGGAGGGCGGGTGGTACCGTCTACTTCAGCCTTGGCCTGGGGAGGCTCGCTTGGACCTGACCGCGTCTGGGGACAGCCACAGAGTGTCGACTCTCCGGTGGGACGTCTGAAGTGGGGTGCTCGGGCAGCCCTCGTCCACCGTTTCCTGACCTGAAAGCCCTTACCCCCAGCACTCCCTGAGGGGAAAAACACAGATTACGTTGTTTATGAATCTAGCTCTCCAGTCTCGAAGTTAAAGTAGGAGGAGCCCTCCTCAGTATATGGGTTACGGTTGCACACTTCAGTACCCCCCAAGCAGCTGATTTTCGTCTTGGAGAAAACTGAGGTCTTCCTGATGTACTTTCAGGGTCTGGCTGCACCCACGACAACGCCAGGCCATTCCAGGTTGGAAGGTAGCTCCCACACCTTTCCCCTGAGTCTGTATTTACATGTTCCTTCACCTGGCACTTAAAATAGCCTCATATAGGGACTTTTTAAAAAGCCAATTCTGGATCCTCGTTTTTCAAAGATTCTCGGATCTTTTTCATAATAGGTTCCCAAGGTTTTATTTGTAGCAGTGCAGTTTGCGAACCCAACCTGAATGCTAATCCAGGGATGTGGCAGCTAAATATGCTCGCTGGCAAGTCCCTTAACTTCTCTTGAGTCTCAGTTTTCTTGTGTGAAATGCAGGAAATCATGTATCTCCACATGGTTGTGAGGATGACAAGAAGTGAAATGTGTAAACTATTTAGCAGGCCGCCCGTCACAGATTAATCACTCGTGCCATTTATTGTTTGACTACGTCCCAGAAGAGTCAGAACATTCTAGAGTCCAATGCAAAAATAATGTTTTAACCAGTCGTATAAGGAAGGATTTTAAAAATATTAACATTGAGGAGTATTCGAAGAAATATGTGTACCTTGGTCAAATGACGGTACAATTTCAAATAAAGCTATGCTGGAAAGCAATAGAAATGTGTCAGAAGCTTCTGAAATGTTGCTTACTTTATTTCACAAAGGCACATATGAAAATCCCTGATAATTCCTAATGTAGGAAAAAAATGTGGAAAGATGGTAGTCTATTTGATATCACAGCTATGAAAACTCACAGACACACTCACACACACACACACACACACACAAAAAAAAAACACCAGTCTATGTATGAGAAAATGACAGAAAGAAAATATAGAATTACTTAGTTGCCATTTAGTGGTAGAAATGTAAATGATTCTCCCCTTCCTTCATTAGCATTATAGCAATAAGCAGTGAACAAAATGTAAATGTTACACCTGAACTGAGTGAGTAGAGCAGCATAAGCCAGAACAGGTTCGCTGTTTCAGAGAATAAAAGTGCTTTAACTTTTGTGGATCTATTTCTGTAGCCTGGGTTTACATAGCATTCTTGCCTGTCACTGCACACTAGCGCTTCTGTATGATCAGTCAACTGACTTGTCCAAATCTTTAACCAGCCATCCTCTTATGTGTAAGTTATTTAATGCTGAAATGTTATTCTTCTTGCTTTCACTGGAGGGCAGGGTAAAGATAATTTCCTGTGACGGAATGACTTTTTGTACCCCTTTCCATTTCTTCTTTTCCTGTCCTGAGCAGAGATCCAACTTAGATGTTATGCAATTACACACTTCTAAAACATTTTCAAAAAACCAAGAAGATCATTTCATTTCATTGTGATTTTCTTTTTTGCTGAAAAAGTAATAGAATCTAACCAAGAATCTATTCTGCTTTTGGTTGCCGTACTAGAACTGCTTTTAAACCTGATGATCTGCCTTAAAAGGTAGGGGAGACATCACCTGCCAGAAAGTATAAATGGGATTTGTTTCAAGTTAGTTGAAGAAATTTTGTTTCCTAGGTATTCAAAGAAGCCCTTTTATCCAGATGTGTTTAGCAATGATATGGATCAGTCTGGAGTTCTCCTCTGGGTAAAAGCAGAACCCTTTATAGTGGGTGCCTTGCCAATTCCCCCGCCCTCCAAGTTCAGTCTGCACTATCTCAAGAAGATAGCCACCTATGTGCGAACCCGAGCTACCGAAAGAGCTTACCCACGTTTGTCCTGGTCTACGTGGAGGCATATTGCTTGTGGGAAGCTGCAGTTGACCAAGGATATAGCATGGCTTTACTTCGAAATATTTGATAGTCTTTCGATGAAGTCGCCAGAGGAGCGCCTAGAGTGGTCTGAGGTTCTGTCTAACTGCGTATCTGAGGATGAAATTGAAAAGCAGAGAAATCAGGTATGAACTGATATATGTGTGTGTTTAATCACTTTGGGAAATAAACTACTTAATTTTTGTACTCCCAGTATAGTTTGAGGTGTTAGGTTAATGACCATTATGATCCTGAAATACCATTTGAGTTTAAGCAGTTCTGGTTTGGCAGTGTTTAATGTATTCCATGAATGTGTCCTTATTTACCGACCCTTCTTTGTGTATATCAAAGCAGTTATGTTACAGGAATCCTGAAGTTAAAAGTGGGAAATATTTTCACTGACTTTAGAAATATTTTGGGGTGAATGGACATTACAAACCCCTGATATAGTATGGTCAGAGGCACCTAATTTTAAATATGCATCTACTACATGTTAGAATTCAGTGTATTTGGGAATACAGTGTATTCATCCTTTTTGTTGCTTGTAAGACAATGCAGACATTCCTCATTTAGCAACCAGCTTCCGTTCCTGTGACTTGATCACTGAATGAGGAACTGTGTATAATATGTGCATTACAATATCCAGAGAAATAAATGGTCAAACAAAACTTCAGCTTGATAGCATTGCTTTCATTTGCATAATTTACATATACTAATGTCATGTATAGCAAAATTACAATATTGTACTGTACTGTATGATCAGCAGAAATTACAGTACTGTATAAAACAGAAAAAGACATTAAGGTTCTATAAACAAAATACACAGAACTATACAGAAAAAAGACCAATTGTGACTCCAAACAGTTGTTAAACACATAGGTCATTAAATAAGGAATATCTGTACTACATTTTAAAGAAAATAAGTTTCTTTTGGTTCTGGAGGTCCAAAGTAGAAGAGCTACCTGTGGTGATGGTCTTCTTGCTGACAGTGTCTCAAGCTGTCTATATGAGTCGTTGCTGGAATAAAACACCTGACATGGATAGCTTAAAAGAGAGAAGGTTTGTTTGGGCTCATAGTTTCAGAGGTTTCAGTCCATGGTCTGCTTGCCCCAAGGCAGGCACATCATGGTGGGAGAGTGTGGCAGGTAAAGAAAGCTGCTCTACCTCATGGCAGTCAGAAGCAGAGAGAAAGAGCCCAGGAGAGATACGCCTTTCAAAGATATGCCCCAATAATCTGCTTTTGCCCTTCTAGGTGCCACCTCCTAACAGCCTGTTTTCCTTAGATGAAGTTAGCACTCTCTTGATTCAGTCACCTCTTTGGCCAACCTTTATACATTGCTACATTGGGGATCAAGCCTTTAGTACATGAGTCTTTGGAGGACTTCATATTTAATCCATAGCATTGGCCTAGAGTACAGAGACAAGGAACATCTATGTGTAATAGTCTCTCTGCTCTTAAAAAGCCAGCAGTATCCAACCATAGGGTCTTTACCTTGATGAACTTACTAGTCATAATCAATTTTCAAAGGTTCTACCTCTAAACATCCGATGAAGGTTCCACCTTCTTAATTCCTTATAAGGGGGATTAAGTTTCAAAAGACTAACTACTTTCAAATGATAGCATTGTTCCCATGCCCCTCACCCCCTGTAATTCATGACATTCTCATATACTGAATAAGATCATTCCACTCAATCTGTCTTAAAGTCATGAGTCATTCAAGCATCAATTTGAAAGTCAAAAGCCTCAAGGCAAACTCCACCTGTGAGTCTGATAGCAGTTGTAAAGGATGAACAAGCTGTTGTGAATTTAGTGTACTGTGTCTGGTTACCTGGTGTTTGAAGACGTATGTTCATGCTTTCTTTTTGAACAGCTCTCAGTGGACACACTACAGTTTCTGCTGTTCTTATACATACAGCAGTTGAACAAGGTCTCCCTGAGGACATCTTTGATTGGAGAAGAGTGGCCTAGTGCCAGGAACAGACCCCAGTCTCCTGACCTGTCTGAAAAGTCCAACTGCCACAATAAGGTGCTGTCATAACTGAGTCTCTTTCTCTTCAAGAGGCGATTTTATCTTCTTTAAAAATTATATTAGAACTCCTTGTTCAGGCCGATGACTTGATGCTTTTTTTATCTATTTATTTATTTATTTTGCTTTTAGAGTTTTTTCCTAGTAATAAACAAAAATCTGTGTAATCATAATCAAAATAGAGGAATGGCTTTAGTTCTTTCACTGGAATAAAAATCACATGAGGTTTGAGCAAACCATCACTGTCCTAGTAGTAGTTCTGTTTTTGCAAATGCTAATGAATTTGAATCTACTTATATGACTAAGGTAGATAAATGAGACGTAGTATTTCCAAAATCTGTTCAAAAGTACAGAAAAATTCTAAAAAAAATTTCATATTGCTTAGTCATGTTTAAAAATTTTTATATATTGTGATGACCTGCATGTTCACTTACACGTTGTTTAGAAAATGTCTGTTGCTTTTTCCTTTTTGTTTTTGTGAAGAAAAGGGGTATTTCTCTCTCTCTCTCTCTCTCTCTCTCTCTCGCTCGCTCTCGCTCTCGCTCTCGCTCTCGCTCTCGCTCTCGCTCTCGCTCTCTCTTTCTCTCTTTACCTCCCAATACTGGGCATTGAACCCTGGGCCTTTACACTGAGTTACATCCCAACTGTTTGTCATTGTGAGGCAGAATCCCATTATGTTGACCACGTTGCCCTCAATCTTCTGGTCCTCCTGCTTCAGCCTCCCAAGTAGCTGGGACTATGAGGATGTGCCACTGCTCTGTCTAGGCTTTTTAAGTTTTTTTCTTTCTTTTTTGTCTAGTTTGTTTTTTATTTTTTGTTTGTTTTTTGTTAGACCCCAGCAGGTAACCCTACTTTTGTCCTTAGTCTCTCCCTCCCACACTGGACCTTGTAATGCAGGTGCAGTACATCCATTTCCTTTCTAGGCTCCATCAGTGAACCCCTGTTGTTGGGGGTGTTTTCGTATCGTATCCATGGAGCCACCTCCGGCCTATTTTGGGGAAGAAGCATGAGGAGGAGGGGGCCTAAAAGGTTGAAGCACAGAACAGCTCTGCTTTGATCTATTTTCTTTGACATCGAAATGAGAATTTACTTTAAGAAATGATTTACATTAGAAGATAATTTTAAACCCTCTGGCATATAAAATTAAGTTCAAAATTAGGATGTTTTAGTATGTTGTACAAGGTCTTTCATGATTGGTCCCTACCTACCATGTCCTTACAGTTCTGTGAACCAAGCAGCCCTTTCAGTGCTTTGTACCTTGCGTGTTACATGTTTGAATGCCTTTTTAAAAAACTATTTTAACTACTAATATCAGACAAGAAGCGCTTCAAATAACAATCCATGATTTTTTTCTCAGTGGGGTTAGTTTCTCTCCTGTTCACAGAATGCCTTTACAGATCTCTACTATAAGTCTTATCTCAGTGAGTTGTGCTTATTTCTTCATCTTCCCATGACATAGACCCTTGCATTCCTTGAGATTAGGAACCATGACTGTCTTAGTTACTTTATGCTTGTCGCTGAGACAAAATACCTGATACCCAAGTTGGGAAAGGAAAGGTTTATTTCTTACAGTTTTTGGAGGTTTCAGTCCACACTCGGTTGGCTCCAAGACAGGCAGGCATGGCTGGGCTGCAGTTCATGGAGGCTGCCCACAGCAAACTCAAACCAGCAAAGAGAAAGACACACCTTCTTCCTGCCATTACATCACATCCTGGCTCCACCCCTATATGGGTGGAGCACTGACACCATCAATCCAAGCACTATACAATGAACCATCACAAATGAACAATGCAAACTCATGAGGCCTGGGGGACACAAACATAAACCATGACAATGGCTTACTCATTTGACATGTCTTATCATTTCATGTTGCTCGTAGCAAATACCAAAAGATGGCCTCAGAAAAATACCTGATGGATGAATGAGGCAAATTTGCTGGAATGTCTGCCAACCGAAAGCTTACTCCCAAAATTGCAATTTCTCTTAAGTCTTAGAATTTCTATAAGGTGTTTCACCCAGTAGAATTTGAAGTTCTTTCTTTTAGAAAAGAAAATAAATTAAACCCAGTGCTTCCCTGAGTGAGTGTCCATGGCTGCTGTTTTTATGTTCGATTTGAGACTTTTAGAACACTTACTAGCTGTGTGACTTTGTTCTCCTCTGTAAATTGTTGGCCCATCATTGTTAAGGTGAGATATGCTAAAGTATGGGTAACACTTCATCTTAGTGAACATTAAGGGTTATTTATTTGTATAGGCTAAGCATTCCTAATCTAATATGCTTCAGAATGCGATACTTTTTGAGCACAAACTTGATTCCACAGATAGAAAATTCAACACCTGACCTCAATACCCAGAGCACACTTAAAGTGCAGGCTTATTAAAAATGTTATACAGAATACCTTCAGGCTTTGTGTATAAACAATTTCATATTTACACTTGGTCACATCATCGAAATACCACTATATATGTCTTTTCCAAAGTGTAAAAAAGCCCCAGATCTGAAATACTTCCAGTTCTGGGCATTTCAGTGTGTACTGCCTTTGAATTAGTTAAGGGCAAATCTGTTTATATCTGTCACATTCACACACACAAAAATCCCTATATATGGTATGTAGCCACCTAAACTATGTAGGTGGGAGAATAAAGAAGAGTACAGAATAACTAAAAGGTAAAAATTCTAGATCATGTAGAATTTCTTTGTTCTTTTAAAAGTGTTTTTTTGTTTTCATTTTTCTTTTTTTAGAACTGGAATGATTACAGTCACCAGGCTTTTGTCTGCGACCATCTGTCAGATCTCCTTGAGCTGCTTTTAGACCCAGAACAACTCAGTGCATCATTTCACTCGACCCATAGTAGTTTAGTCTCTCGAGAAGCCGTTGTGGCACTCAGCTTTCTCATTGAAGGCACAGTGAGTGGAGCCAGGAAGATCTATCCGCTACATGAACTTGCAATGTGGCAGCCACTGCACGCAGACAGCGGCTTCTCAAAGATCTCTAAGACTTTCTCTGTCTACAAGCTGGAATCCTGGTTGAGAGCCCGTTTGACTGGGAATCCGTTTGGTACATCTGCTTGCCTGAAGTCGGGAAAGAAATTGGCTTGGGCTCACCAAGGTATTTTTTAATATTCTCATTTAGTATTCTCCTGGTGTTTTCATAGTCATTTATTTTCTCTAGCGGACCTAAATATAAAACATACTGCCACTGTGAAGGGAGCACCCATCCTTGAGGTATAACTTTCTCAAGGCAGCGGTGATCTCAGTTAAATTTATGAATCAAGACCCACTTAGTGAACAGAAACCCTAGCTACACTTAGTCCTGCAGTCTCTGCTGTGCTTTTCTCTAATTCTCTCTCCTCACCTTCGTGTGTGCACTTATGAGAGAGTTTCTGTTTTAATTCAGCAGAACTTGGCCATCCCACACTTACAAGTTGATGTAGAATTGAGATCTTTTTTTAGCTACATAGACACAAGCAGAGTAGGTGTTTACAAATTGGAAATATAAGTTTATAGCAGAATCCATTGTTGGTTGTATCAGGCATGCATTGCTGATAATCCAGCAGTGTCTAAAGTGATCGGTTCAGGTGTTATGTGACTCCTGTTTCCACTTGTAAGTGTTAAAAGAAGAGGGACTAGGCCCATATCTCTGTAGCTGTCTGTGCTACTGAGGAATATGCACACAAAATTAATGGAAAAAACAATTGCCCTAGAATATGCTTCCACTGTTTCTGAATTTCAAAGATAAATAGCTTACAAATGTTAAATATATATATATATATATATATATATATATATATATATATATCCAGTTTCTCTCAGATTTTTACTGCTCACAGAAAATGGTCAAATACCATCTATAAAAGTGGAGCAAAAAGATTGTAATCCAAGAATTCTATGTTTAACAAAACTATTGCTATGGTAGGAAATCACCAACTCTCAGATATATAAGGATCTTGGAAATAAATAGGAATTACTGCATAATTCTTGATGCTCATAGAAGAACATTGGTTTAAGCAAGCTTTTGAACACTGGAAAGGTAGTCATTAGTAGGGGAGGAAAAGGCAATCCAATCTCCTAAGATTATACTGAAATGGAATAGTAATAATAGGATTTTACATGATTTTTAATCTTTTTTTAAAACCATTTTTCTAAGCATGTGCGATGTGCATGGTATATATGTAATTCAAAATAAGCACTAATTATTTTACGAGAACTACATTGTGTCAGGTTGTGTGTGACACTGTATAACAGGAAGATCTGCTGTCAGGTGTTACTGCTCCCAAGAGTAAGACATGATCCCACATAGATCCAGGGAGTAGACATGAACTCAAGTAGAACTCATGGTGCTTTAGGTGCTTTAAGGAAATTTAGAGGAAATCAGAATTCACAGTAGTGAATGGAGAGGTTAACTACGCTGGAGTGATAAAAGCGTCTTGGAAAAGGTGTTTGAGCTGGGTGGACCGTGTCACATACATCCTAAGCCAGAGGCACATTACTTAAAAGGTCGACATAGAAAAAAAAAAGTCTTCAATCTGTTAGCAATCTTGAATGGATTAATTTTTAAATTTTGTGTAACTAATGATGAAAGATGATGAATATACAGAAAACTATAGGCTGCATGGCTAACACCTCTGAACCTAGTGCCCCAATCTGAGTTTAGACGTGGAACACGTAGACTTGTGTAACCTCCTGTGGTTGTTTTTTCTTAGATTTGAAGCTGTCTTGTTATTTATGCTTTCTTAATTAGTTGAAGGTACGACCAAAAGGGCCCGGGTTGCTTGTAACACTCCCGCGGCCCCTAGAACGCACCGCCTGGTGGTGATGAGCCAGGTGTGCAGGCAGACGCTGGCCAAAAGCTCGGACACTCTGGCGGGGGCGCACGTCAGGATCCATCGCTGCAACGAGTCTTTTATATACCTGCTCTCTCCCCTGCGGTAAGCACAGTCTTCTTAGCGTTCTGGTATTTTCACATTTTCTTTGGAGTAGTATTGATTCTTTTTTTTTTTCTTGGTAATCAGAGAAGGTTACTTGATGCAGTTCCTTTTTTTTTTTTTTTTTAACTTTATGCACCTCATTTTTTCAATTTTTCAGATCTGTGACAATTGAGAAGTGCAGGAATAGCATCTTTGTCCTGGGTCCTGTAGAGACCGCTCTTCACCTCCACTCCTGCGACAGTGTTAAAGTTATTGCCGTTTGCCATCGTTTGTCTGTCTCTTCTACAGCAAGCTGCACCTTTCACATCCTGACCCCCGTGCGCCCGCTCATCCTGTCTGGGAACCAGAGTGTAACTTTTGCTCCTTTCCATACCCATTACCCGATGCTAGAGGACCACATGGCCAGGGCAGGCCTCGCCACGGTGCCTAACTATTGGGATAATCCGATGGTCATCTGCAGAGAGAGCAGTGACTCACATGTCTTCCAGCTCTTACCCCCATCTGAATTCTATGTATTTATCATTCCTTTTGAAATGGAAGGGGACACAACAGAGATACCTGGGGGCCTGCCACCCGCGTATCAGAAAGCGCTGAGTCAAAGAGAGCAAAAGATCCAGGTCTGGCAGAAAACTGTGAAGGAAGCTCATTTGACAAAGTGAGTATTTCCTCGAAATTTTATTGTGGGTTTTATCTGAAACTCATAGCAAAAGAAACTAATCCTAACATTTTTATAGCTGCAGCAAAGTAATTTAAAAATCTTGTTTGTCTTTTAAGGCTTGCATTTCAGATGAGTCTTTCAGATTGGTGGAATGGGAGATGGGAATGAGTGGGTCCTTAAATGTTAGACTCTGTAAACCCTTTTCTTTCAAGAAGTTTGAGTTCAGCCAGCAGTTATAAGACTTGTATGAGTTAAAGAATCATATGTAGGATTTACCACATAATCTAGTTCTTACTTGGATTAGTTTTATTCATTTCTTTTCTACACTGTACGAGTGCTTCTCAAGCTTGGTTGTGCATCAGAATCTTCCAAGGAGCTTGTTACTACAAATTTCTGTGGCTCTACTGTACCAGACTTACCCTTTTTTTTTTTTTTTTTTTTTTTTTTTTTTGGTACCAGGGATCGAACTCATGACTGAGGGGCTTACAAGGCAGGCGTTTATGCCGCTGAGCTAAATCCCCAGCACCTCCAGACTTACTCTTCATGGGTGTCTTCCAGTGCTGATCTGTAAACTAATAATAGTTTTTGTCAAAGTCTTCCCTAGTCTCTGATAAACTATAAAAAAATCAGTAATACTTTCTTTTTTTCAAAAATTAAATTTCCTTGGTATAAAATACTGTCGTTCTGAGATAACTTTCTTCCCATTTTGGGGGTAGAAAATACCCCAGATAACTTATTTTTTAACACTATGCTTCTGATAGTAGATGGCTGTGATTATGACGTACACCACAAAATTTTGTTTCTAAGGTATTGGTCTTCAAACTCAGAAGACATCAGTGAAATTGACACACATAAAAATTCATTAGATTTTAAAAGGATAACGTTTTGACAGGCTAGACGCGTGGTGACAAGCCTATGGCACATGCCACAGTGGGCTGTTTGTATCATTGAAAGATCTCAAAGGTTCGCCATCACGGGTCTAGACTAAAAGTGGGCTGGACTAGAGTAGAGAGAAGGCAGATGGAGAGCAGAGATACTTTGCCAGGAGGCAGGACTCAGTGTAAGATTTTGCAAAGAGGAAAGTCAAACATGACTCCAAAACTTAGAGCCAAGCTTAGGAAAGTTTTGATTCATTAGTTTTGTTCTGGTCTTATTACTATCTCTCATTTAAAACTAGTGGATTCTCAGAATAAGTGACATTCCTACAAATACATTGTTTAGTCGGATTTTATTTTGTAGATGTATTAGGAAAGGAAAAGAGGAAACATCACAGTACTGAGAGATGGAGAGTAGCTCCTTCAGAGCTTGTGCTTTTGAGGGCTGCTGCCAGTTTGAGGGAAGGGTATCAAGGTTTTTTTGCAGTTCTGAGTGTGTCAGATGCCTTCATAATATTTTGATTGTGCCAACCCTTTTCCTTTAAGGCTTAGAAATGACTTTCTGGTACTGTATCAGTTATTTTGTGATTACCTTTACCTTGGAAAGTAGCACCCATTCCAAAACTGTCTCTGTTTCTGTTGATCCATAACTGCTGTTTGACATATGAATGAAAACAATTATTTTAATTAGATCTCTTGTTTGACTAGATGTTAAGTTTAACATTATTTCTTAGATTGCCACGTTTATCTTTACTCAGACTTAGGAATTAATTATGTAACCTTTCTAGGTCTCAATCATAAAATATATAATGTGTATGTTTTCTGCCCAGTTAGCTGACATGAAGATTTACCAAGTACCCTATAGCAGTGATGTCTGCGTGTTTATTGGTATGTGCTGTGGTGTGTTTATATAAAGAATTGCATGTAGATGCTATGAAACTGTTTTTACCTGGCAAAAAATAGATCAGTAACAGTCACAACTCGTGGTTTACCTGGAAGTCTGTTGTCATAGTGATGCTGTTATATTACGTACATTTCCCCCTTCTGTATCTAGGAGGTAGGGACCAAAACATTAATACCATACAGACCAGCGCTTCTCATTCTAGCCTGTCAGTAATTATGTTGATGGTGACGTAGGTAAAATGTACTGAGCACTTATAATGTGCTGAGTCCTTTTATATACTATCTCATTCCTTTTTCATGACAGTATCCTCCCATAGATAAAGAGACCAAAGAGCTGACCGATTAAGCATTTTATCCAAAGTCATACCTGGTTCCAAAGGTTCTAATGTCATTTTTCCTTTTCAACAATCGTTACATTGTATAGTACAAGTAATATAAAAATAGGTGCTCATGTTCAAAGCAGTTCAATTATTTGGGTATTTCTAGTACTTAGATACCTAGAATCTCTTCCACATGTGTAAAGTTTACATAGCTGTGTAGAGTCCAGAATGTGGGAAGACTTAGTAAATGTTAACCGTGAATCACAGTGTCTTCAATCAGCAAGATCCATGATTGCACTTAGGCTTTTTGAGACAGGGTTTCACTATGCAGTTCAGGCTGGCCTTGAGCTCACATTGTAGCCCCGGCTGGCCTTGAACTGGCAGCAGTCCCCCTGCCTCAGCCTTCCAATTGCTGGGATTACAGGCATGTGCCACCATAACGAGCCAGTGATGGCAATGAAAAACAGTGAAAAACAGTGAAAGTAGTCAGTGTAACTTCGGGAATGCACATGGGTGCCCTTCACTTTACAATAGAATGACATTCTAGTAAATCCACTGTGAGTTGAATATATTGTAATTTGAAAATGCGCTTAATACACCTAACCTGCTGAACATGATAATTTAGTAATATAGTAGACTCCAGTGTGTCTTGTTAAGTCTAAGCATGTAAGTTGAGGAATATCTGTAGAGGAAGACAAACTGCCAGTGTGACTCTGCAGAAGGATTTGGGTCATGTCTTTCCCCTTTTCCTGACTCCTCTAATGGCTTGCTGTTTGTATTAGTCACCATCCTATTGTGGGGACAGAATACCTGGCATATACAATTTAAAGGAGAGAATGCTTGTCTTTGGCTCATGGTTTCAGAAGTTTCAGTCCATAGTCAGCGGGCTCCAAGGCACACATCATGGTGGAAGGGTAAGGTAGGAAAAGCCACCCACCTCATGGCAGACAGGAAGCTGAGAGAGCAGAACAAGAGCCAGAGAGGCAGAAGCCAAGGACCAGATACAATGTCCAGGGTCCTGCCCCAGTGACCTGTTTCCCCAGTGACCTGTACCATGCCTTTTGTTTCTACTGTTTGTCAGTAATGTTGCAGATACAGCATCAGTGGGTGAATCCATTGAAGTTAGAGCTACCTCATTATCCAATCCCTTCCCAAAAGCCATCAGCAACTAACACTTTAAGATAGTCTCTGGTGTGTGCAGGGGAGTACATTGGACCTCAGCCATAATACCGTTATATTTGGAATAAAATTCAAAGCAGGCTTTTACTCTCTCTGCCTCGTTTTCTGTCATTATTTGCCTTTTTCTTTCCTTCCCACCATACAGAGTGTTCTTGCTATTACTCAGCCATTGCCCTCTGGCCAAAGCCCATACAAACACATTCATAGAGCAAGGGTGATTGTGATACCTCAGTTCAACGATGAAGAGGACTGAGTTGCACCTCAGTAAAAGGATGTTAAAAGGAATTTATAACTGAATTTTGTGTCAGGTAATTTTAGAGGAGGACCCTAGAGAGCAGGACTTTTTTTGTGGATCAGATGCCATGTAGAAGTGAGAGTAATTGGTAAGTTAATAAATTGTCTCCAAGGCAGGAGGGAACAAAGCAAAACTAAAGCTAATTTCGAAGAGCAGTGTCCAGTAGCCAGGAAAAGGTGGTGTTTGGTCATCACGGTTGGGACTGGAGCACTTGATTTTTCTCCTGGACTGAGATGTTTGTGGAGGGTGCTTGTTCTTGCTTTGGGCCGTTGTCATCCCACAGCGGCCTTGTCTGCTGTCAGTGTCCTGTGGACTTGTGCTCAGCAGAAACCCACAGCCGGGGGCTAGGAGGGCGGCTCAGTGGCACAGCACCTGCCTGGCAAGCTCAACTCCTGGTAACAAAACAAAACAAAAAGAGCCCGACAGCCAGGCCAGATCTTGGCTGCACCAAGCCTGGCTGATGATGTCAGGCTGGCTCGGGCTGCCGGGAGCTACTCTTGCTTTGTGTGTTGAATGCCTTCAGGGTGCTGTTTGTAGAGCCTTTGTTATCCTCCTGCTCTGCCAGGCGTCTCCCTGTCCTGCTGCTTTCAGCACTTTACTCAGACCCTGCCAAATACCTAGGCGAGGCTTCTTCTGTCCACTCACTTTTTTAAAAAAGTTGCATTTCTAAGGCTTAGCGTTGTTTTACCCTGTTCCATTTTTCTTCAGGTTGCTTAGAGCTACTCAACTTTACATCATCACGTATTTTCCTTCTCACCTGCCCTCTGCAGTTCAGTGCCTACAGTGTCTGTTACAGGGCAGACATGATAACTGACCTTTCTACCCTCTTGTGGAGTAGTCTAAAGTAAACCAACTAAAAGCAAAAGGGTAACTAGAAACAGTGATTTAATGATGTCCCACTTACAGGCTGTGTAATGAGTTGGAATAAATGTATTGGAAGTAACTGTTCTCGTGTTCCTTTTGCTCTGCATTGCAATTTTAGGGATCAAAGGAAACAGTTCCAGGTACTTGTGGAGAACAAGTTCTATGAATGGTTGGTTAATACAGGGCATCGCCAGCAGCTGGACAGTCTCGTACCCCCTGCAGGAGGCTCCAAACAAGCAGCAGGGTAGGGCTCCTACAGCAGATCAACGGTAGGTGTTTACAGGGCAGACTCCTTGAGACAGCTTCCCCTGGGGAATCTTCCAAGTGGACAAAACTAATGCACACTGTAGTATGTTTCTAACCCTTGCCCAATTTTCCCTGCCACTCCCACCAGCATAAACATTACCCACACTAGCCTATTTTACAGTAACAAAATGAAAGTATTAAGGTGCAGCATATAGAAATTTAGGCAAATGCAATGAAATTTTATGTTTTTTGCTATTTCCTTGTCACAAGTTGCAGTGATGAAAGATACTACTTTCCCCCGTGCATAGCTTTAATTTTATTCCCCCTTCCTGACATGTCTTTCTTGATTTCCACCTCTTTCTCACAAACTAGTTAATAAATGGGCTGATATTTATTAACTCTACTATGAAAGATAATAAATTATTAGAACTCATTGGGATGAAGATTTGATTACCAAACACCAGAATGTCGTAGATGAAATGGAAAAGAATACAAATACAGACAAATTTTCTGGAAGTTTTTTAATCCAAATATATGCTGTTTTAAAACAGAAATTAGTTTACTTTGCTACTTTAAAAATATTTTTAAGGATTAACAATAGCAGGGCTGGGAATTTAGCTCAGCGGCATAAACGCCTGCCTGGCAAGTGTGAGGTCTTGAGTTTGATCCCCAGTACCGCCAAAAAAAAAAAAAAAAGATTAACAATAGCAAAACAAAGGACATGAATAGGTCATTTATAGACAAATACAAAGATAAGGATACTCATTTAAAAATTAAGAAATGTAGTACCCAGATTGAGTATTCCTTATCTGAAATGCTAGGGACCAGAAGTGTTTTGGGTTTCAGATTTTAGGATGTCTGCATGGACTTTACCAACTGAACATCCTGTCTTGAAAATTCAAACTCCAAATGTTTCACAATCTGAAACCTTGTGAGTCTTGACACTTTGTAGGGCAGTTTGACCAAAATCATAATTTAAAATATTCTTTGACTTAGCAGTTTCTTTTCTTGGACTTTATCTTACAGGTATACTCATGTATGCATAAAGTTCTATTTAATTTTTTATTTGCTTTTTTAATTGACAGATTTAATTTTGTTTGCTTTTTAAATTGCATGTATTCATCATGAACAGCATGTTTTGACATACAGTATATACACATTGTGCAGTAGATGAATCAAGCACATTAACATGCATTATCTCACATAACTGTCATTTTTATGGTGAGAATACTTACAGGCTACCCACTTAGCATTTCTCAAGGACACGGTGTATTACTAACTGTGGTAATCGCACTGAACTTATTTCGCCTACCTACTGAAATTTTGTATTCTGTAAAATTCTCCTTTTGTAAAGTGGTCATTGCAGCGTTATTTGAAGAATCTGTAGACTGGAAACAGCCCACTGCTCATTAGAGGCCCAGTCCCTAATGAGCCAGTTCACCTATACTATGCAGTGCATCTTTAAGAAGAATCATCTATGTTTGCATTTGTGGATACTGAATGATCTCTAAATTCAGAAAAATTACTATGTCTTCTCTTTTTGAAAAGTGAGTCAGATTCTCGTGTATATAACTTTAAAGTTCCTGAAAGTATGTAAAGAAATTGTAAGTAGTTCCTCCTTGAGGAATGAGACTGGATGTCTAGGGAAGCAGAAAATAATTATATTTTATTGAGATACAGTGCATGAAACATAAAACGCACCTTTTTTGTTTGGGGTTTGGTTTTTTTGAGTCAGGGTCTCACTATGCAGTTCAGGCGTGCCTTGAACTCACTATGTAGCCCAGGCTGGTCTCGAACTCACAGTGATCCTCCTGTCTCAGCCTTCTGAGTGCAGGGACTATAGATGTGCACCACCACTCCTGGCCTAAAATTTACTTTTTGAAAGTGAAGAATTCGGTACCCTATATTCACAAGTTTGTGCAACCATCACAGCTTACAAGTCTCTAATATTTTCATAACACCTAAAGTGAAGCCCATCGGCACTGACTGTCTCCCCCTTCCTCCAGCTTCCTGTTTCTCCTCTTACTCCCAGGCCCTGGCAGCCAGTCCTCAAGTTTATCTATTCTGAACATTTCTTATAATATGTACCATGTTCAACTTGTTTTACTTAAATGTCTTCAAGGCTTATCCCTGTAGCGTGTCAGTCCTTCATTTGTTTTTATAGTAGGATGCCATAAAGGTCTCCCACCTTGTTTATGCATTCATTAGTTATTGGATAGTTGGGATGGTTCTACATTTTGGCTGTTATAAGTAATACTGTTATGTACGTCTGTGTACAAGTTTTTGTGTAAACATACATTCTAACTTCACAGGAGCTTGCACCTAGGAGCAAAAGTGCAGTGCCAGGTGATTAACTTTTTATACAGTTATCAAGAGATGCTCTTTATTGTTTGCTTTATGTTGTGTTTATATCTGTATCTATTATTTTTAAAAATAATTTTATATTTAATAATTGCTGAAATTTAGAATCAGAAATCTGATAGGGAGTGTACAAAAGAGCTGTAACAGGGTGCACATGTTAGCTTAAGTTAATCCCCACAGTCTGCCAAGGTTTTATGCCTGTGTATGCATTTTATAGCAGAAGAGATGATAAACTTTTGTGACACAAAAATTTAACTTTAAACTTTATCACTGTAAACTATTATCTTTGGAACTTAAGTGAATTTGCAAATACAGGCATTTTCTTATTATTTGCATGAAGGTAATAGAAAACTAATTACTATTAATTTTTCTTTTGTTATTTTTAGGGTCCTGGACACACAGGGATGCTTGGAGGAGGGAGCCCATTGAAAACTAAATTGGGAAGACACTTTCACTGCTTAAGGGACTTGGGAACTTTCTCTCTTGTAAAAGACTTCTTGATTTCCATTCCATGCTTACTACTGTTTACGTTGGATTTAAGCTAAACTTCTTGCTTTTATGTAAACAAATGGTTTATATACCAGAAGGCTCATGTTTGTGAGGCAAAAGTGAAAGTGGATGAAGGCATCCCCATTTTACATGTGTATATTTATGTATGCTAATACTTAAATATTTATAGCTGGATGTGGTGGCACCTGCCTGTAATCCCAGCACTTGGAAGGCTGAGGCAGGAGAATCACAGTGAATTCAAGGACAGCCTGAGACAGACCCTGTCTCAGAAACAAACCCCCAAAAGATTGTAGATTTGTAAGTATATGTCATATTTTAATATGTCTGATGAAAGGTTTCATTCTTTCTAGAGTTGAAGAGTTTTATAGTTCTTTGTAACTATTTAAAAAGAAATTTCTACTCCTCTTAAGAAATAATTAAAATAAAAGTATGATTTTTTGATGCATAAATGTAGCAGAAATAGTTTTATATAAGAGTGTATTTGTCCTTAAGCTACAAAACTTAAATGAATTTGCATAAAAATTTATGGTTTTCATTTTCTGATTCAAATTTCCAGTAAGCCAACTCAAAAAAGATGAAGCTTTACTTTTAACCAAGGGAAGGAGTCTGCTGTCGCTCTGTGACAAACTTTACTGAAGTAACGTTGATATTTGATTAGGAAAGCTGTATTTGTTAGGATAAGGGAAACCAATTTCAAATTGGTAAATTAAGTCTGATTGTTAATAAATGTTTCATATGATTGCTAGCCATCTAATTAGTAGTTTTATAAAAGACTTAATTTATAAAATGAAAATTAATCTATAGAATGTTAATTCTAATTGAAATTTTAGAGTTTGTATTTTAAGATAAGTTTAAGCCAGCAGAGTATTACCAAATAAAAGAACACTGGAGTAACAGAAGTGTGTTCTAGAAATTGTTTGTTAATGAAATCAATAATACTAATCAGATACTTTCTTAAAAATTGTGAGATTCAGAAAACTACACATGTAACTTCACGTGTATCTGTCAGTAATCTGTATGGCAAGGCATACTGGCCATTTTCTGAACTGACTGTAGTACGTCCTTTTTGTTTGTTTGTTTTTGTTTTTACTGTGATACATATTGAAGCCATCCCATTTATAAAAATACTTTCTGGACAGTTTCGTTAGCCCAAAGATGAGATAAGTTGGGCTTTGGATAAGAATCAATAGACCAGAAAAATAAAAATGGAGAATATTGTTTCTTTGAGTTTCCATGAAAATGTCATCTCCTTTCTACAGCCTGTGGTGGGTTAATAACTAGCACTTGTTCCGGACAGGCCCCAGTGTGACACAGTGTGACAGCGGTACACTATGGTGCGTGCTTAAAGAAACTGATTATGGTAAAAGACACCTCAGCATGAATACCGTAGTTCTGGAACTCTCGGGAGTGTCTTAAGCTGTGCTCTTGTGGCTGCCTGAACGTTCTGAATTGGTTCAAAACACAGACCTTTCGTGGTCCTTGTGTCTTTGGAGAAGAGCCGGAAGGGGTGCAGTACCAGGGCTGGAGGAGAAGGGGGCTTAGATGACCGTCATGTTTTTGTGAGCCTGCTTTTCTGCTGGACGCGCTCGGCAAGACCATCACTGTTCCCTCTTCAAAACATCTCAGAAAGACCAGAGAGAAAGATCACCCTGTAGGTGGCAGGTTCTGTCCCCATAGTAGCTTTCTGTCTCTCTGCGTACTGTGCATCCTTGTGGATTAGATTTGTTTCCACTTTGCATTTTGAAAAAAAATTCAAAGAACAGTTGCAAGAATAACTCATTCAATTCTGTGCAGATACACCACCTCATTCACATTACTGCCTTTATGTAGTATTGCTTTAACAATGGGAGAATAGATTACAGACATCCTAAAGTTTTATTCCTAAATACATTAGCATGCATATCCTGAAGAGAAAGACATTCTCCTACCTGGTCATGCTGCAGTGGTCAAATTCAAAAAGTTAAACACTGGTACCACACTAGTAATACAGTCTATGTTAAGATTTTTTTCATAATTGTCCCAAGAATGATCTTCGTAGTGATTTTTTATCCCACCCAAACACAAGACCGTGCATTGCCTTCTGTTGTCGCGTGAGTTTATTGCTTTCAGAACACATCAGTTTTGTCCAGTAACAGAGAATGGTCTTGCAACTGCTGCCAGCTTTGTTGAACTAAAGACATTAGGAATTTCAGAGATTTTTGCTAGTGGGGGAAAAATTGCCCAGGGAAGAGAGATTTTTTTGTTTTTATTTTTAAAACTTTGGCTGGATTTTGGTATCTTGACTCAGCAAGATCTAGAATGCAGCAGGGCTTGGTAAGCATTAAAAGGGGTAGTGAGGCTTTCTTTTATTTCATAATCCCAATTGTTTTTCTAGAAACCATCAATAGCCTCCAAATGACTGACTCAATTTTTGGATCCTAATCTCATGACTAAGCAGATGTTTGATTTGAACCCAGCCCAGTATAAATGTCTCTGCCCCTCACTCTCCATAGCTATTCCTGTATTTCTTTCAGCACTGGGGAGGTCACCTATGCCCTAAAGATGTCTAAAACAGCAACGAAGGTAAGTAAATGGCCATACTGATTCATAGCTTCCTCTTCTGCCTAATGATGCATTGAAAGAACATGGAGAAAAACTTTTGTGTCTTTGCCAAGAGGTGAGTATGAAAGTGGGGTGGTTAGAGGAGTAGGACTGGGCAAGAAGAACAGAAAAAGCTTATGTTTTTACTCTAACAGAATTGCCAAACTATGTGCTGTGCGGAATACGGACAGGTAAATAATACGTAAATACCATCATGATTTTGCCTTCCAGGAGCCGATAGGCTATGTATCTGCATAGAAACAGAACATGCTGTGGAGGGTGACGTGGGTGATAAAACATTTAGTAGTCAGTTAAACTGTTTGTGAAATTCAGCCTCCATTGTTAATGTTCCAAAAGGCCAAAGCAGCCAGGCTGGTCAGATGAACTAAACTAGCTTCTTCATCCAAACAGTTTATCTTAACTGTACTCAGTGTGAAGAAAATTACCTCTACAATATTGGGCTGGATTGCGGGGCTGCATACGGATGGCTTAGGCAGAGCTTAGGCAGGGCTCGTTTTCCTTTCGTTTCTCCCAGGATCCAGGGAGTGTAAGACACAACCATCATCTCTCCATCTCAACTTTTTGCTTTGAAAAGTTTGAAATCCTGGAAGAATAGGAGATGTCCAGTGAATACTTGTGTGTCCTGTATTTCTGTTGTTCAGTTAACATTTTGCCGTATTTTGGCTCTTTTTCTGTATCTTTGTATTAAACCATTTGAAACAAATAGTGGACTCCACTATACTGTTGCATTATGTACTTGGGTTTGTATCTCTGAAAAACAAAAACTGTATGAAGCTGATGTTTATACAGAGAGTGTCTCAGTAGAAATGTTCGTGCTCTCTAAGATCAGGCATCCTCCTGTATAAACATCAGTTTTGTCATGCTCCTGGGATTCATTATCAGTCATACTCCTGATATCAGGCATAAATCCACTTGATACTCAGGATCCATTCAGTTTCTTACTGTTCCCAGAAATACACATAATGTAGGGTGCAATCACGTATCACATACTGTATTTGGTGGTTATGTCCCTAACCTGTTTGGATTTTTTTTCTTTTAACCACTTTAATTTAGAATAGTTCCTCTGCTTTTCTTTTTGTTCTTTGAGACAAAGGCATCTTGCAAACTCCAGGACAAGTAGGTGCGTTGTAGGAAGGTATGCATCTACATCTGCCTGTTTGTTTCCTCATGTTTAGATTCCAATTAAGCAAGTTTGACAAGAAAACTACACAGGCAGGACTGTGTACCTTTCAAAAGGTGCATCATATCAAGAGGGGGCTGTTAATTATTATAATTATAGTAATTGGTTAGTGCGTAATTTCTTTCCATCTAGCAATCAACTAATAATCTTGTTTATTATCAACAAACTTGGGGGAAAAGTAACACCATATCTTTAGTACTGTGGGGTTCTAGACACAAAGCAGATTCCACTAAAAAAGAATTTAGGGCTGAGGATTTAACTCAGTGGCTCAAGTGCTTGCCTGGCAAGTACAAGGTCATGAGTTTGATCCCCAGTACCAAAAAAAAAATTAAACTCCTTGGATTTCCACAAATTGAGGAAGATTGTTATGTAATCATGTTACACACAAGAAAATGTCTGCTTTCAGAGATTTCCAGAGCAGTAAATAGTGTGATCTTCCATTTGTCATAGCACAGTTGTTAAGTGACTTGCTTGCTGAGCCAGAGGAAATGATAAAGTATTTCTTAGTCTTTCCCTTGTCTTGTTAGCATTTTAATCAAGAATTATGGGCCTGGTGAAACGAATGGGTTTTTTAAAGCATATTTTGTATGTTCTAGGATATTCAAGACATTTTTCTTTCTGTTGGGTTGGATTGGATTGGTAGGCTATTTTTCAAAAGGCAGAGTTGAATATTCCCAACTTGGCAGAATTCACTGGAAGAGGAATTTAGTGCTAAGCCCAGCGATGGTTATGTGGCAGCACCACACAGGTGCTTTGTTTTAACCTTAGGACATTTGGCTAATCTGCTGGGAGGGAGAGTGGCACAGTGGCCTTGGAGAACACGAACATGTCTACTCAGACCTGGTGTCAGGCTTGTGTACGAGGGCAGCAGGTATGAGCCACAGTGGAATGGAGTGGCTGGGAACTTCATTTCCCATGGCACATGCCTTGCACATCGTTTTTGGTGAATGTTGGTTGAAAACCAAATGCAACTTGAATTAGGCATTTAAAACCTATCCTTTCGTAGAGAAGTTACTCCTGACTTTTCTAAGATATCTCTACAGTCCTAGGAAGAACCTCCCAGGCTCACACTAGTCCTGCTCAGTGCAGATAGGAAGACACTAAAGGAAAATAAAATCAGCCAGATCAACGCACAGGAGATTTGTACTGCCTTTCACTGACTCCTAAATGCTGGTGACAATAGGCAGTCACTTCGTCTGTAACAACTGTAGCAAAAGGTTATTGGCAATGATGAATCAAATACTAAACTCTTTATTCTCTCTGCTGTAGATGCTGTTACCTTGCTTGGAACCTAAAAACCTCTAGAGTCCGCTTCAAGGACTGGTTTTCTTTTAGGTCAACACAGCAAATCAACCAGGAGGGGGCGGCATACTGCCAGCAAATGGCTTGCAGGAAGCATGCCCTGTAGTTTCTATTTCAATTCTAACCTCGCCTGGATCATAGACCATGGAATTATTGAGCATGAAGGAAAAAGTAGCCCGTTTATGGTTTTCACAATAGCTTTCAGAAACTCCTTCATTCATTCTTAAAAGTTCCTTGGAACTCTTCTCTATTTGGGAAATCTCTAGTTTTGTTTCATAGCCAGGGCTCCAGTCCTCAAATCATTTGACAGGAAGCTGAAACCTAGAGAGGTGATGGGACTGAGGTAGAGGTTGGATAGTGAGGTTGCTGTAGAGCCAGGGTCTGTAATTCTGGGCTGCACGCTGCACTATTTCACAGGTATCCTGTTAGGAGAAAACTATTGTAGAATATAACATGGTGTATTTTCATGTATGGGTGCTCCGTATCATCCTAAAAAAAAAGCTCTCAGAAACAGGTCTGTGTTCTTTTTCTCTGTACGTCTTCCATGTCATCTGGCATAAATTCTTGCATGTGAAAATTACTCATCTTCATCGAATACGTTTTGAGGATCTGTTGAGAGCTGGGCACAGGGTGTCCACACCTTAAATAAGACTTGGTCCTTGCCCTTGGAAGAGGTCTAGTAGGACCCTAAAGAAAGGAAGAGACAACCATATCCACAACCAAACCTGTGTTGGGCTTGATTTGGTTCTCACCCAACTCAGTTTGCAACAAGAATCATGGAAAGCATCCGGTGTACTTGTCCTCTTCCGTTTCGCTTTAAGCTTTCGGAAAGTACTGGTATCTGTTGTTGAAACGAAAGTTGTGTACCAGAAACCACAAGTGAGGTCGGGTAAAAACTATTCTCTCCTCAAAGTTGAAAAAGGGATTTCTACAGCAGGCAATGCATTTGTTTTTGTAATTTTTATTTTATCTATAAATAAACCTGCCCAACGTGGTGCTTCTGTTTCTTTGCCTGTACTTCAGATTACTTTCTACGAAGACAAAAATTTTCAAGGCCGCCGCTATGACTGTGACTGCGACTGCGTGGATTTCCACGCATACCTAAGTCGCTGCAACTCCATCCGAGTGGAAGGAGGTACCTGGGCTGTGTATGAGAGGCCCAACTTCGCTGGGCACGTGTACATCTTACCCCAGGGCGAGTACCCAGAGTACCAGCGCTGGATGGGCCTCAACGACCGCCTGGGCTCCTGCAAAGCCGTTCATCTGGTGAGCATGGGGACTTGTTTCTTGGTTTCTGTCTTGGTCTTGGTCTCTGTCTCTCCTCGCCTCCCTTCCTTTCAGCTTTCCAATCTCTTCATGGGTGGCTGGTTTTGTTGGCTGAGGAAGGTTGAAAAAGAAAGAGAGAGAGAGAAAGAAAGAAAGAAATCTCAGGTCAGAGCATCTATCACAAGACTGAATTCTTATTTCCATGCTGGGTCCTCTACCTGTTGCATATTTAGAGAAATTTTTGTATTGAAAGCCAGCCAGTGCAGTCTGTTCTCAGCGGGGACAGGAAGTCAGTGACTTTACTTTCCAGGTGGTAGGTGCTGAACCACAGTGTTCTGACTTCCTCACCTGCTGCTAGCTTCTATGGTGAAGATCGTTCCTTTTCTTCTGTGCTTTTTCAGTCCAGTGGAGGCCAGTATAAGATTCAGATCTTTGAGAAAGGAGATTTCAATGGTCAGATGTACGAAACCACTGAAGACTGCCCCTCCATCATGGAGCAGTTTCACATGCGAGAGATCCACTCCTGTAAGGTGCTGGACGGTGTCTGGATTTTCTATGAGCTACCCAACTACCGCGGCAGACAGTACCTCCTGGACAAGAAGGAGTACCGGAAGCCCATTGACTGGGGAGCAGCGTCACCCGCTGTCCAGTCCTTCCGCCGCATTGTGGAGTAATGCCGAGGTGGGGCCGTAGGTGTCCTCCTGAGGACCGAGTGCTGGCTGGCCTTGCGGCACAAATAGGCATCGTAAATAAAACAATTGGCATGCATCCCACTGCTGACTACAATGCCTCTTCTTAAACGCTTCTAGGGACCAGTAAAGTAGTGCCTGCCACAGTGGGTGGTTACACAAAGAACCTCCTCCATCAGATTAATAATCTAGATCTTAGTGCCAAACAAAACGAGACTGCATTAAAAAGTTAGAAAACCATCCTGCTGTGTACTGGTTCTTCTTGTTTATGTTTTCCTTTCATTCAACAAGCACGATAGTATTAGCTGCTATTTATCAGGTCCCTAACGTTATTCTGTTTTGGTTTTTTTTTCTTCACAAGCTACCCTATAAGAGAAGGGATGTATCTGCATTTTTGCAGAGGAGGAAATCTGAGTCTTAGTGAAATAAAAAGCCCTCCCAAGCTCACGGAAGAGCTAGGATTTGGTCCAGGATATATGTACTCTCAAAATCATTGTTCTTTGCTCATTCATTCAACACATATTGGCTGGAAATCCATGTACAAGACCCTAAAGAATTTTAAATTTAAAAAATTTAAATGTAAAAAAATAGGATTAAAAAAATTTAAATTTGACAAGATGCCTATGAAGGTTTAACAGAAGAGACCAAATGCCTATTTTGTAGAAAAGAGTTACTACTTGAAAAGTAATGAGTCATCTGAACTCCCCTGTTTAAGACTTGGAGATTTTCTTTCGGTTATTTCTCAACCCTAAATTCAGGTTTTCTGTGAAAAGGAAGGAAATATTAAATGATTTTTTCCTTCTTTACAAGAGCTGAAATTGAGTTTTATCCAGTTTTGCTTAGCAACCCTTCGAGGTTTTATTGATTTAACCTTGAAGAGGAGAAAGAAGAAGAACAGAGGAACAGCGGGAGTCTTGGTGGGGATTTGAATGAACTCAAGGACTTGACTAATGCATTCATCTGTAAGAGAGCTGGCCAAGTCCAAGTCTAGGATCTTTTCCCGTAAAGGACAAATGAGAACTGCCAGATTCTTTGTGCCCCTTTTATTCTCTCTGTTGTCTTCTCCTGATCTTTGTCATTTTCATCTATTTCACTGACAAAACTGGCTGACCATATGGGAGGGGAAAAATGGTAAACCAAGGAGAAAGAACAAAAAAAGCATGCAGTGAGCTGCAAAGACCTCTGGCCCACGAGCTGACTGCAGCTGTGGGCTCTGGACCTGTCCCCTACCATGAAGCTAATGTCCTCGTCTCCAAAGCAAGGGAGTCACATCACTGTGTCCCGATAAACACATTGAATTCCTTGGAGGCCAGGAAGGACCATGGGGCCATCAGTCATTGACCTAAGACTACAGACACGTCTTAGACACACACTTCCCTACAGTGATCTCAGAGCCGGTCCCTCACTTCCCATCTAGGAAACGGAGGCTGTGCTAGCTGCTTCTCTCATCAGCCGTTGCCATGTTCCTTGGGCGTCAGTCACAGTCTGTTCAAAACAACCAGAAAAGCAGCGCTGGCAGCAGGACAAGAAAACAAGTGTCAGGATGACTAACCACAGTCTCGGAGAAGCAGAAGATAGCTTCTGACAGATCAAAAACAGAATTACTTGGGTGGGTTGCGTTCTGCTTTGTTCATGCCCTGATTCAGGAGGAGACTGCCCCTGTAATCCCCGCTGTACATACCAGTACACCTCCACTGCAAAAGGAATTTCCCCGGCAAGCACTGCTAGGGGTCGAAAACCTTCTTCTCCATTAACCTATGCCGGGGCTTGGGGTAAAATACTCCGCTGTTAGAGCAGAAAGCTTGTGCCACCTGCAGCCACATCCAGGTTATTTCTCTGAGTTCATTCCCTCTTCTTTTTATTATGTTGCTCTGAAATGGAAGCTTCAGAAAATAGAGCCCAGGCGTATATAAACCATTTTAGTCTCCATTTCCTTCCCAAACATGCCTCTGAGACAAGCCTCTGCATATTTCCCAAATACGGAGTTCACTTCCCAGAACACAACATTGAGGATTCCCATTTAAAACCTCAGGGTAGAGCTGCCAGATTAAATGCAGAATGGAAATATTGGGGTATAAGTACAATATAATGTAAAGTTATGCACAGTGTTGCATGGAACATACTCATACTGAGAAATTATCATTTGTATGTCACTGTATCCTGTACTTATATTTGGAAGCCTGGTGACCCTAGAATTGTACAAGAGCAAAGGAAGTCACACAGGAGGGACATGGCCAGAATCGCAGAGGATAGTGTACAGTACCTCGTCCCACAAAATGGCACTTAGTACCAAGTTTTGTTTTGGGGTTGTTGTTATTGTGTTTGCATTTTGTTTGTTTGTTTGTTTTTTAAACAAAGGCTAACCCTAGGGACTTTGGGCCGAGCTGCGTCTCCAGCCCTCTTTAATTTTATGCTTGAGACACAGGATCTCACTAAATTGCCCAGGTGGGACTTGAACTTGTCACCCTCCTGCTCCAGGCTCCCTCAGCACTGGGATTACAAGCATGCACCTGTAATTTTATTACATCCTGCAAGCCAACAAAATGTGTCTGCAGCTGAACATGGTCCATGGACCACCAGGTGCTAATGTTGGCTTGTAAGAGAGCTCTCATGATCCCAAAATACACCTTATACTGAGCCAACAACTTTCACTCTGCAGGCCTACCTGCGCTTCCAATCTAGACCTTCATCCACAAGCTAGCTCTGAAGGTGCTTATGGGTTCTTGGGCTTTCCTCCACGCTCTCGCTTCTGTGCCGGACAACTGCTATCTCTTCCACCCGTCCCTCTTGACATTGTTGCTCCTGGGCTCCCCCAAGCTGGTGCCAACTGCATGCCTCTTCCCTGTCAGTTGTTGTTCATGTCTTCCCGTATCTTAGCTGTGCTCCGACCTATACTCCTATAACATCGGGAGGACTGAGTTCTTCCTCCCTGGGAGTTAGAGATGGACCCCAATCTGGCCACCACAGGTCAGCTCTCAGTCACACAGTCTAACATGATGACCTCAGTGTCTTGTAAGACACAAACAGCATCTACCTTGAGGGTAGGAAAATGAGGTAATTCATGAAATTCTTATTATTTTCTTTAGTTATAAAGACACCACAAAGCCTGAATAGCAAATGCTAAATTGTCACACCTAGTTTAGGTTTCTTTGAGCCTCTGGTCACATCTCTGTTAACTGAGCAACACTCTGTGTGCTTTTGTATAAGGAAACTTTATTTAATTTTGTCATCAATTTGTTAACATGGAGCTCACAGCCATCTACACTCAAACGCGTACCAGAAGGATTATTGACGCACATTTTCTCAGTGACAGCACACCTCAGCCTTCTCAGGCTTTGGAACGCTACAGCACACCAGCCCTACATTTGGGGACCATTTAAAACAGTGACAGCAACAAACAGCCAAGTAGTGGGGAAATGTGGCACTAATAATAGGTGCGACACCTTTACAGTGTGAGAGCTGAGATAAAAGAGGACACGGTGCCAGGCGTGGTAGGACACGGCCACCCCGGAGGCTGACGCAGGAGGATCACAAGTTCAAGACCCTGTCTCAAAACAAAAACAAAGCCAAAAACATTACACTGCTTTAAAAAGAACCTTGCCTGAGTTATTTTCTCAAACTGGCGGTGTGGGATGAGAGGTGACAAAATGGAAATGGAAGGGAAAAGAGAAAAAGAAAAGTACAAGAAAGATGGCGTCTGTTCCATTTCAGCTGAAAGCATGTTCTAAAATGCCGAACTGAAATTTGGTGCTCCTTTGCCTGGACCTATGAATGGTCTCCAAAGCCCACGGTAGCCATTTAGGGCTCACAAGGAGATTTTAGTGAGTTTACCATGAAATAATGAATATCACCTGGACTTGCCTGGCCACCTGGTCACCATGTTAGCGTTTCCTGGCGCTGCAGCACCTCTGTTACCAAGCTGCCTTCTTTGTTTTAATTTTATTTGGTTTGCGTTTTGTACTTCTTTTTATTCCCTCACTGTTTACAGAAAAGTGTCTCTGTATTTTTGGCAGATGCTTCATAGTTGGGAAAAAATACCCCAGAGTGGTCTACTCATCCCACTGCCTTGAGAGCGAGCCATGGAGTGAAGCCTTCCTTCTCTTGGCGCTCCCATGGCCTCTCCCCTGCTTCTACTTCCCAAGGCTTTCAGAAGCCAGCAGCGTTGGCTAGAGCCCGCCCAAATCCCCCCTTGGTTTCTAACCTCTACCCGTCCTTGGGGGTCTTGGAAATTCCAAGGCTCAGTTTCCAGCCTTTTGGCAGAGCGGCCTCTGCATGTGCTGAAAGACTGGTGTGGGTGACTTCCGTACAAGGGAACCTGTCTGTCCACACTCACTGCCTGCCTCTACCTCCTTCCCCAAGCCTCGGTCTTCAGAATCAGTTTCAGAACGGGAGAGGCTGGCACTTTCTCCTTCAGGCTGTCACAGGTTACTGAGGTGGCGCTTGCTTCAGATAACAGCAGAGGGACAGTGGCTCAGAAGGACAAAACAACCTGTCAAAAAACACAGGTCGCAAAGCTCTCGTCCATTCTATTCTCAGCTTCTGCTTCAGGGCCTGGAACCCAGAGCTTTGCAAATTCTTGGAAGGGACTTACAGTTCCCGTCCCTACTGCTCAGTCTTCAGGAAATGGAACCAAAGGTCCGTGTCAGTCATAACCTTTGCTGTTCTTTTCTGCTGTTTCTTTTTAAATATGGATATTCCTCATTGAACAACCTACCTGTTTAACCACCATTCGCGCTAAAGACTGATGCGTGCTGTTGGGACTTACAACCCCCTGGCTTTTTTCCTTTGCACAGTCTTCTGTGACTGACTCCTGGACAAAATGTGTTTGGGTTTTGTCTGTGTGTGTGTCACTCCAGTGCTTTTAGTGGCAAATACGAAGGCAAATGCCATGGTTTGTTTCATTACTTGATGGACTTTTGAGTTGTTTCTACCTTTAGGCTCTTATGAACAGCGCTGCATAAACACCGTGCGGGTGTCTTTCCACTTACGTCTGTACCTGCCGGTGCAACTGCTGGGCCCGTGAGCTGTTTGTTTTCAAATGCTGGTAGCACGTGGGGCCTTGAAGGCACACACATGTCAGTTGAGTGCTAGCTCTCCTACTTTCTAACGGTAGGGTCTGCAGCAAACATCCCTTATTTTTAGCTCCCTTGTATGCAGAATACAGACAATTTTATCTAAGTAGTTTTCTTAGTATTAGATGAGATAATAAAGAAATACTTTTTAGTCCACCTGATGATACC